ATTTAAGATTTAGTTTGATGTATGTACATAAAGAATAATGCTGTTTAGATAACACGAAAATGCTAATTTTTAATTTCATGTAATAGGAGGTGCGAAGCTACATAGGGTCAAGGAGGGGCGGCAGCCCTTCCTCTCGTTGGAAATCAAGTCCAGGAGTGACGGTCCGCCTCTTCACCCTTCCCAAAAATCACAACTCAACCTATATTTATTCAAGACACTCTCACCAGGCATATTTTGGTCATTTCACACCAAAAACATTTACTTTAGGTACGCGTTATAATAGACATTAATATTGTCTAGTGCCTAAAAGGATTTGGTTGTCTAAATATTTTTAGGCCAACCCTTTAAAATCCCGCCCCTCTGCCTAACAATTTATGGCTTCACCATTGCGTAATAGTGTTGTCTTACACACACTACTACAATATTAGATTTAGGTGTCGGATGATGGTGCCGATTTAATAAGCCATTATGTCGGATAAAAGATATCCTACACATCATTCAGTTAGTGTCGGATAATATTGAAATCCTGTCGGTTATATATGACATAAATTCCTAGTGAATATTTAGTGTCGGATGCAACCGTCATAAAATTATTATAACTGCTAGTATTTTTGAATTTTTTTTAAATAAATATTTTTAACATATTCCGGCGATTTTTAAGTTAATGGTGGCGGTTATAACCGACAGAAATTATATATTTTATTATTTTAGTTTCTAGCTGTTATTATTTTAGTATTCTGGCAGTTATAACCGACACGAACAAAGCAAAACCCTAGCAGCTACACCCATTCTCATTTCAGCTTTTGATGAGCTCGAGCCCAGAGCCCACATGGCTCTCTACTTCCGCAAATGTCCACAATGTCCTCGGTAAGCCCAGAAGCTTACGATGCGAACACATGTCATGCATCAGGAAAAGGATCACCCTAGGATTCCAAATGAAAAGCCATAGGTTTCTCTCATTGCTTTCATTTCTGAGTGTAATTAGAAACCCTAGGTCCTTCTCTCTCTAGAAACTGAAAGAGGTCTTCTCATTTCTCTTAGTCCTTTCTCAAACCAATACAAACCTTAGGTAGAAGCCATAGTCGCTCCTCCATCAACCATGAGAAATGTCTTCATAACTCTCGACCTACACAAAATCTAGTCTTCATTGCTGTTCAACACAAACCCTTTACCTCCATTTCTCATGATCTGAAACTGTAATCCATGCCGCTATGGCTCTTGGTCCTGTTCATGAAAGCCATCATCTGCACTGGATCTCGGTAGCGAAACCCCTAAGTCAAAGGTAAAAATCTCATTTTGCTGCCATGGAGTTCAATTGAGTTTATCGTCATGGAAAAATCAAAGAACTAACACATCCATGCAACATTTTTTTTTTTCAAGAGTACACGGATCTACAACAAGGGAGGTGCACCAACACCCAAAAGTTCCAGATCCATGGTGGATCATCCAAGACTCCCCCATCTTTAGGTAAAAACGCAATCACCCCCAAACTTCGGTTTTGATGATGTTATTTTCAAAGTTTTTTTGTGCTGTGATTTTTACACCCATCCGTGTTCTGATGTATGCACAAGAGCGGACTCCAAATCTTGGATACGGTATTACGCAAGTGAGAGAAAACACGGATCAATATCCAAATTAAAGATTCATTCCCTCAGTTGATTGTCTTGGTTTTGCATGTCGAAGATCTGTTGATTTTCAAGAATGATAAAGTTTGGGGGTAGTTTGTGCAGGGTGCTCACGGATCCTTTCGCTAGTTGTTTTGTTGCAGGAATACTCGAGATTTGCTCGCTGGAAAATGCAGTGAATGTAGGGGAGGCCAACTTGAAAGGGAAAGAAATGATTCAGAAAGTGGTTTATATTTTTTTTATTATTAATATTTTTTCTGTCGGTTTTATCCGACAGATAATGCTTTTATTTATTCATTATTAATAAATTCTCTGTCGGTTATATCCGACACAATTTCTATCAGTTTTATAGTATTTTCTGTCGGAAAATTCATTTCCTGACGCTGGCAATTCTGTCACTTATTATATCTGCCACTGCATCCATTTTCTGTCAGATTTTGCTTAAAATCCGACAGTAATATACATTTCTTGTTGGTTATCACAGCAATACTAATAAATGGTTTCATAGTAATGACGAAAATGTCAATTGTTAGAGTGCCAGTTTTGTGTGAAGTATTAATTATCATGTGATACATGCATGAATACCGTAAAAAGTTTTAAATCTCTTCGCAAATGAAACCCTGTCAAAATCTTTACTTTAATGAAATTCAATGTAAAATATTATGATAATGCTATTCACACACTCATTTTTATCTTTCACACATACTTTGTTAAATTTTTTATCATTGATCTTTTTTAATTCATTCGATCCGGGGACCAAAAGTTGAGAGGAGTGTGTAAGAAGTAAAAATGGGTATGTGGATAACAATACCCAAAATATTATAATAAAGCATGTTATGTATATGGCCATGAAAATGAAATGAATGTGGTTGATAGGAAATTGGACAACTCAAATTAGAAATAGCATTTGTGAAAAATTCAAATGAGGAAATTAAAGGCGATCGAAGGATGTGAAGTTGTGTTCTTATGTTATATATATGTACCTAAATTATGCAATGTTCTTTTATACTCTGATTATATGCACAGATGTTATGTTATAACACTATTAGTTTGAATTAGAAGTATTGTTGGCACCGAACATTGGAAAGGAATGCGTAAGTATTTGATATTAATTTCAAGTATTGGCGAGGGAGGATGGGGTAATGAGAATGACATATAAGTTCAAGGTCGATTTCTAACTTAGCAAAAGAATTGCAGGTTTAGATGCATGATGAGTGCAATTTGATATCCTAATTAAAATTAGCTATTACCTAGTGATACTTAATTACAAGTTTATTCGCAAAAATTTTACCAACTAATTCTTGGTTATATTTCAGTTCCAAATATTGGAAGAGATACAAAATTCGATTTCTCTCTTCCCTTGCATTATTAAAAACTCGCAAATTTGATCGTTTCTCTTCCATTGCATTAACAAAAACTCGCAAATTTCATTATTTTCCCTTTATGTAATATGTTTACTTGAAATTTATGAAGCACACCTAGCTAATATACAAACAACTAGCAGCAGTAGCAACTAAAGGTAGTTAGATTACTAAGGGAAATGCATGGCTGGTATATATAAAGAGCAGCAGATACGTTGACTGTGATTAAGATTATGAAATTAAAAGATTAATCGTAAATAAAGTTGCGGACCAACACGTACAGTGACCTGATATATTAATGTTGTTAATTAATTAACGTAAAATTAAAATTTGAGAGGAATGAAATGGTGCCACCAAACAGAGTGGGTCATGTGGGTTACGGGACGTGAAATGCAAAGTAGGTGTAAGATACGCACCTGCGACGTTAGCCTTATGAATTATGATTTGATTAACGAAGGGGAAATCTCCTTGCACAGTTGCACTCATTCCCCGTTAATCACGAGAAGCAACGTACACTGCATAATCCATACATGCATTTCATGCAGACAATTAATTTGTTGACTTTGATGAAGATTGCATTCTTTAATATATATTAACTTTAATTTTAACTTTTTTTTTACAATTTGTTTTTTAAATGCAAGCAATAATATGCACTAATCTAATTAAGAAAAAGCTTCAACCTGAAACACAATAATTAAAGAAAAAGACCATAATCATTAGGGGCATTTCACCATTTGCAACATTTTCTTAGATTTAAGCTTATTTTGAATCACATTATTGTTATCTCATTATCAAACTAAGCTTACCCTCTTCTCCTTAGTATAAATATCGTTTGTTAAAAAAAAAAAAAAACACGCATGTTATTAAGATTGATATATATTATTTGAATTTTTATTGATTTTACAAACTCAGAGGGATAAAATACAAATTAAAAAAAAAAAATCATGACTATTTAGTCTGTTTATACTTGTAACTTTATTCGTATCATTAAAGCTGTTAGTGATAACCGTCATCCTTTTTAATTAATTAATTATAGTCAGGGAAGGTCCACATAAGCTAATTAGGTATACTTGTAATTTTGCTCCTCATGTTAATCATGCTTCTAATAACCTTCATCCTCTTAAGTTATACTTAAGCATTTATTCCTCAAACCCATTGCCCTGATTGCAAGTTCTCTAATCCCTAGGGACCATATAATAAATGTTAGAGAATGCTAAGAAGACTCTCTCAAAGTAAGACTCTTCATGAACTCACCACAATCTCATATTTTTTTGCATAATGTTGGCATAAATTTGCGCCAAAAACATGAGGTGAAGGAGAGTTCACAAAGACTCTCTTTAGCATTTCTCTATACGTTATTGAGGCAAGGCAAGGCCATTTTTGTAATTTGGAGACACAGCAACTATGACAACTAAGAAGCTTTGACTTATCAACCTCAATCACCCTCATATGAACTCCCCAATGAAAGATATAACACATGAATCGAAAAGAGCCACGACTAACCCGCCTAGTAAAGAGCATACCATAACGTGCATGTAAACACGAAGATAATTAACTCACTTCACAATATCAAAATCATGATAATTTGTTATGTGTATAAGGAATACTTTGTAATGTAATGTATTATTTAAGTGTTATAATGTGTGATATTAATAGAGTTGATTTGCCTCACTTCTAGGGTTATCAATACACAATAAACATTGTGTTATAATTTTAATAGAATTGTGAACACAATGTTTATTGTGTATTGATAACCCTAGAAGTGAGGCAAATCAACTCTATTAATATCACATATTATAACACTTGAAGTGCTTTTAAAGAAAATGTTATTGGGTTCTAAAAGCACTTACATATTTATTAAGAATTAATTCTAAAAATATTTCCACAAAAACGCTTTTAGTTATTTTAGAAATACTTCCAAACAAGCCATATAACTACATAACGCCATGGAGTTGATCTATGGAAATAGATCAAATTAAAGGAATACATTTTTTTTGGGGTCACATGCTTTGTTTTTGCATTTCATTTTGATTCAGAGAACAAAAGTACGATACCACTTTATATGGTATCAAAATTACATGGGAAGAGAAATTATTCGGTCATCAATGTATGATAAAATACTTCCTATATTAAAAAAAAAAAAATAACATATTAATCATGTGAACGTCTTCGAGTACATTTAAAATTTGTCTAAAATCATGATAACAATCACAATCACAATCACAATCACAATCCCAATCTCACACCCTTCCTTGGTCGTAACGCTTCCCCAACCGCCCACGTTCATCTCCAACCCCACCTTCCAAATTAGTAAGAGATTCACATACAAATTTCACTCCCACACACACGCACACACATGCTTTTGCACTAACTCCAACACATACCCTCCAAACTCCAAAACCCTCTTATATTTTATATACCCCCAAAACTCTCCTCACAATCCCACTTCCAAATTGTGATCACAACTGGTTATGCAAAATGTTCATAGCTCCTAGCGTTGAACAAATACTACAATGCCCTCGATCTGGGCTAGAGCAATTCATGATGATGGAGATGAAGAGACCATGGAACAAATCCCATATTGAGATTGCCCCAAACTGCCCTCGATGTGCCTCTTCCAACACAAAATTTTGCTACTACAACAACTACAGCCTCTCACAGCCAAGGTACTTTTGCAAAGGGTGCAGGAGATATTGGACTAAAGGCGGCTCCTTACGCAACATCCCCGTTGGTGGCGGCTGCCGCAAGAACCGCCGTGGTAAGGCAGCCAGGCTCTCACAGGCTGACCACGGTTCATTAAGTTATTTTCAGCATCACAACTCATCAACTACTACTGAAGATGATCTGGCCGGAAATACGCAGCCAGGTGGATCTAATGCACCAGATATTGATTTAGCTGTGGTGTTTGCCAAATTCTTGAACCACAACTCCACTATCCCTGATGGTCATGACCATGACCCCAACTTGGTAATTTCAAGTTCAGCATTGAACGATCGTGACGGCTCGCATAATTCTTCAAAGGCTGATGATCTTGTTGAAGCACTTGGTCATCATTATTTACATGAAGGACATCAATCACAAGAAGAAAATGTTCAAACTTTTATGGGAATTAATCACAATGATGATATGAACATTCATGAATTTGAGTTACAGGGTTTACTAGGCGATGATGAACAAGTGGTGCAAGATATGTTTTGGTCCGATGATGCAATGACGTCCTTGACGAGCAGTACTGCTAGTTTTACATGGCAACCTATGATGGATCCGCAAGAGTTGGACTGTTCACTACCATCCGACGATGATCAAATGAAGATATCGACCAATTTGTGTGGCGATAATTGGAGCTCCTTTGAATTTTCGGGGTTTGAAGTTTTCTCACGGTCTTAAGTGCATACAAATTTACAAGCTTTGATTAATTATTTGTTGTCAATTTCATTTAATTTACAATTTTTTTCCTATATAGTTAGAAGTTTAGTACTGTTACATTGCCATGGAAAGGAATACCATGGCAGGCATATATATATATATATATACTAAAATAATAAAATAATTTTTTTTCTCATAATATGTTATGGAGCGAATAGTCAATTATTACTTTATTATTAGTGTTAATTTCTGTTGAGCTGTCACATTGGAGAAATTTTTCAGTGGGCCCGAAACACTGGTACATACACTTTATGTCATTATACAAGTGGAGTGATTCTTGAAAAAAAAAAAAAAAAAAAAACTTCTCTCTACTTGTATAATAACCTATAGTGTACTACCCTGTGTTCAGACACATTGAAAAATATCTCCTCACCTTAAGTTTCATCTATATATACATTCAAATAAGAGGCTTCTAGGGTTAATTTTTCTTTATCATATATGTCCTTATAATATGCTCACTCTCAATCGCCAGAACGTTTATATTATATTAAAAAGCTTTGGACCATCACTATAAGAAACAAGCTAGCTACGACCTTGCACGAACTACTATAGGTCATGTGAGGGTGGTTATGTATGTATAAGACCATTTTTCACTACTTGATTACCCCATTAAAATTTGCTACTTAATCAATTATACTTTTACTCGTTCAAAACAATTTTTTTTTAAACGGTTCTGATTCTTGAATACGATATATTTATGTATAAGAAATATTCGTTAAATGAAATTGATGGAACGAGGAGGTTCCACCAATAGTACGACACATGTATAGCAATTTAAGCAAGTGATCACTTCTAACAATTAAATCGCCTTTTGTTCTGAATACCTAATTTTCTTCTAACTTTTAATTTCTTCTGTTGCAACACTAGGCTTGGTTGATTTTGGATTAAAATACTAAAACACATAATTAACTTTTCAAATGGTGATTAAATTTTGAAAAAAAAAATGGTACTGCTTTTGTTAATCCATTGTAAAGTCATACGGAATTACACAAAACATTAACAGTGAACAAGTCTATTTCTTAAATTTAGAAATAAGAAGAAAGATATATTTGAAGTTACACATGAATAATTATTAATATATGGTTCGGGTACAAAATTCGCTTGTCATTAGATAGAGACTAGACATGAACAATACGAAATTTGGTTTGATTCGTTCTAAAGTTATTTAAATATAATTTGAGTCGGTTCTTAAAATATTCAAACTATACATTTTAATTATAATTTTATAGTTATAATTATTGTAAATAATTATTTGTGTCAACTTTTTTTTAATATTTATTTTAGCAATTATCATTTTTTAGTATTGAATTCTAATGAAGGGTAAAGTAAATAGTATCAGGATTGACTTTTTAATGTAAAAATATAATTTTTCGTTAATGTAAATAGGATCTGGAGTTTTTCGTTAAAGTTTTATTTTTTAAACTTGGGCTGGACAATTGCGGTCCAAATATTAGTTTCACCGTAGAAAAATCCTCCTATCAAGAAACTGCAAGATGAATTAATAGTTACTCATATGAAATCTCCCAATAAAAAATAATGATAATTTTAGTTCTTCCAAACACAGTATTGGAACCAGAATATTTTGCGAAAAAAAAGGGAAAAACATGGTAGCAAGAATATTAAATAATAAATAAAAATATAGAAAGAATAAAGGGGTTTTTTTTTTGTATAAAATCAATAAAAAAAAGTTACAATATTAACAATATATCAACAATATTTATGTTAATTATAAATAGGTCAAGTATTGTAATACTTATATACATTTAGAATAAACAAAAATTACAAAATTTGCCATTACCTGGCACCGATTTCAACTAACACCCCCTTTCTCATGGTTTTTATATTTCCTAAATCTGTTTTTTACATTTGGATTTAGACATTATGTTACAGTGTCCATTTACTGCTTTTATTTTTTCCATCACTCACACTAATCTTCCCTTCTTCTTTTTGCATTTACATTCAAACACTGCAATGCAGCATCCGGTTTTTGGTTCTGTTTTTTACTTTTGAATTCAGACATTATGTTGTAATGTTTGTTTCATGGTTCTGTTTTTTCCATCGCTCACACACTCCTAAGCTTTAGACACTGTAATTAATGCAGTATCTGTTTCATAGCTCTGTTTTTTACTTTTGGATTCAAACACTGTAATGCAATGTCCTCTTCCTGGTTCTGTTTTTACATTTGGATTCAGACACTACAATGCAGTGTCTGTTTTCTAGTTCCATTTCCTTGAGTTGAGCAGACTCCTCCATGTAAGTGAAGGGCACGAGAGAGAGAATGATAGAATATTCATGTTATAACTATTATAATAGTTTAAAGCCCATATGACATTTATAAAGAGAAAGAAAGAGAATGATAGAAGAGTCAAGTTCTAGTTTTTTATAATGAGTTAAAGCCCATGTGGCATTCATCATTAACCAATGCCTAATTAATAAAAATATAACATTGATTAAGTTCAAAACAAAAATATGTCATTGATTTATGGCTAAATAGTACAATTTTTTTTTTATTTTTTACTAAATTACCTGAGAATAACAGTTGTAATCCAGTAAACATTGGAACACATCTCCACTGGAAGGAGAAGGTTCAAGCAGAAAGGATATTTCGATTTACGCTCAAATAAAATCCTGAAACCAAATTTCACTGAGAATAAAATTCCAAGAACTATGTGCCACACATTTAACAACACACAAACCTTATATCACTCATATTAAACGGAACAGAGAGATAGGGTGGAGTAAGGCTGGGTTTGGTTTTTTGCCAAAACCGAAACCAAATCGAAATTTCGGTTCAGTTTGGTCCTTTCTTTTTTCGATTTTTTTTTTGTTCGGTTTTTTTCCGGTGCGGTTTTTCCGGTTTAGTTTCGGAAAAATTTTGAAATATGAAATTTTAACATCTCCAACATGACATAAGAATTCCAACTATAATCGAAGACAATGAAAATAAACATTTAAAATTTAAGTCTTCCAAAGTCCAAACTTAAAATAACCATCAAAGTTTAACTCTTCAAAAAGTCCAAACTTAATATAAACATCACACAAGTCAAAGAAACCTTCAAGGTTTCATCAGTTCATGTCTTGCACAAATAAAATCTCCAAGTCCTCAAGGTCAATGCTTAGGTGACCTAGGAGGCAACATAACATCCTACCTTCGCTTTTATATAATCCTTCTATATAAAGTCAAAGGTAGGATGCACATGCAAAAGCTACGGAATTGTCTTTCAAAACCCTGCAAAGGCACACACAAACACATAGAAAGTGCAACAAACATAAATTTTAAGTCCCCTTAAATTTTCACACACAAATCGGTTACATTAACTACTGCACCGTGGCGTCAGGTGTGCATGAAACAAAGATGGACCACCAAATTTTAATCCTTATTCAGTCTCTGCAGTATTATTGATGACCAAACTGCAGAAATTATAAATGTGTACGTTTTGGGAGAGTTGCAGACTGGTTTTCATTAGATGGTGCACAAGGAAATTAGAAGAGTGGTTTTCATTAGATGGTGTATAAGGAAATTAGAAACTATATTCTAAAAGCTTGCCCACTCATGTAGACTCCACCGCTAAGCTACCCTTTTGCTCAGTTTCTCAGTTTACTCAGAGAATCATAGAGGGCAACCTCAAAAATCTTAAAAGCTAAACCCTTATACTACAACAGTACAACTGCTGTCTGCTTATCAATCCAATTGTTCAATATCTGACACTCCAATTAAGCATGCTTCTGAAGGAAAAAAAAAAAAAAAAAAAAAAAAAAAAAGGCCGGTAGATATATAAACTTACAAATACAAAAGATGATGACAAAAACTCCTCTGTGATATCAAATGACTAGAGACGACACGAAGGAGTATATATCCAGTTATAGATACGTTGTTGACAATTTTAAGTCCCAGATGGGTTCCTCTCAGACTCCATGAACTATGAATAAAAATTAGGTTTTTAGGGGCATATTTTTGTGAGTAAATTGAAAGAGAAGGATTTGGTGATATAAAATTGACCGTTTCAAGTATTTTCTGGGGCATATTTCTGTGGGTTTTAGCTTCGGTCTGGTTTTTTTTTAGTTTTCGATTTTTCGAACCCACCCCTAGGGTGGAGGCTGAAAGCCATTGGGTGAGTTGTTAACCCTAATTTCGCAAGGGGGAGTTATATAGGATCTAAGGGTGACGTTAAATGTCTATTTTGTCCCCACGAATTCCATAAGACGATTTATCCTTTTATAGTGTTTTGTTTTATTTGTAATTTTGTCCCACAAAAACTATCTTTTTTCTTAACACGCGTAGTATTAGACTTTGGAATGGGTCATTTTCTTGGAGTCCTGTAAGTTGTAACCCATCGAGCAAGACAAATTCTTGAGTACTACCGTGGAACCAAGTAGACTGTCACTAATATCCAACAATCGATTATTGGACGGTAGTGCATTTTTTAAATACATGACAAACGTTTATTGAACGTTGACATCACTAAGACTAAAACATAGTTGAAATCTCTCTACATTGAGTTTTCCCAATACTGGCGCAAAAGGATCAATCCTTCACTTGTTCATCATTCGTGAGTTGAGCCCACTCTCTTGTCACACCTTTCAGTCGCTTGAGTCAGACTCAATCACTTTTTTGTTTGGTGTATCAATCGTTCATCAATCTATATTATCCGCCAGGATCGCAGCAACCAAGGTGCATTTTATGTTAAGGCCAGAGGCAGCACGTCAAGCACGGGCATGTAATCTTTTGGCTAAGCCGAGAACGAAAAAGATGGACAGATGTGCTATGTTAAGAAAGGTCTGGAAAGAGAATCACAGTGAATTGAAAACAGAAATCCTGGACTGATTTCTTGAGAGCTTGCGCCGCAAGTATTTCGAATCTCTTTGGTCGCAGATGCAGATTGAAGTTGTTTTAGAGGAGAGATTATTTTTCAATGTGACCGTCACACGAGATGATACATCACGTGTCTTTATATAAATGGTGGGTTATATGTGTTAAAAAGTTAATAACTTAAAAATTATCACCATTTGCATAAAAACACGTGGTATACCATCCGTATTTCCTTCGCAACTAAAAATTTCTTGTTTTAGAGCCCGAAGAACGATTCCCCAAGACATCGAAGAGAGCAAAAGTGAAAAAATAAAAGTGCTGGTTTTGAAGTTTGGGCAGCATGCTGACATTGTTTCTTTCTGCATGGCATAGTTCTGTGATAATGTGAAAAATGAACAGAAGAAGGAATGATCAAGATCAGCAACTTCTGTATGGATTTCCGCTCTTCACATTATTTAATCTTCAGTCATTGTTCTTTTTGTACAAAATACTAAAATAGGTAGGAAATTATATTTCCAGAATTATCTTCTTTTTTTTTGGTAAACCTTCCAGAATTATCTTCAGTCTCAGTGTTTTGAACCTTTTTAATTTATTTACTGTTTCCACGATTTCAAAAAGATCTATTATGTGTCCAAAATTCTTTTTTATTATTAAGCGATATTGTTGTTATTGATTATCAAGCGATATTTAAAATTATTCTAGAAATTTTTCTTTTTGCTTTTGTCTTTTTAGCCTGAGCTAGAAATTGGAGTCCAAATATTTGATTCAAAATTATTCATATTATTCTATTTTACGGAGCAATCGGAATAATAAATAATTAGTTCAGGATCACAACTCTTTCGGCCAACCTTGTTCAAATATTGTTTCATCGTACAAAAATCCTCCCATCAAGAAACTGCAGGATGAATAAATAGTTGCTCATATTAAATCCCAAATAAATAATAATAATAATTTTAGTTCTTGCAAACACAATCTTAAAACCAGAATATTTTTTGAAAAAAAAAAAAAGAAAGCAAAAACATAGTAGCAACTAAGAATCCAAGGTAAAAAAGAAAAAGAAAAAAGAATAAAAAAAGTAGAAGGAATAAAAGGTGTAATCCAATAAAGCTTGGAACACATCTCCATGGGTGTTTATGAAGGAGAAGGTTCAAGCAGAAAGGATATTTCGATTTACGCACAGATAAATCCTGGAACAAATTTTTACAGAGAATAACATTCCAAGAAGTACCATCTGCGACCACAAATTTAACAACACCACACAACTTTTCGCTTCCATCTGGAGAGAGAGAGCTCAGTCGATTGGGTGGAGGATCAAAAGCCATTGCGGAAGTTGTAGCCCAAATTTCGCAAGGGTGGATTGGATTATATAGGAAGAAAAGGATCCTAGCTAGATTATTTTTGTGGGGATTCCGTGATCGTGATCTATTCATCGTACATCGTGTGGTCAGTTTTCGTTAAGTACTATTTATATTTAATTTTAAATTTTAAATTTTTAAATGATTTCTGACCACATGTACGATGATCAATCACAATCACAAGATCCCAAGAAAACGATCCGGTGAAAATTCTTTTCCTATGGGAACCTACTTGTGATGTGAAATGACTATTTTCTCCCTTCCTAGTTTTGTCGTGCAAGTTGGAATACTATCATTTTCTTAACACGCGTAAAATTTTAGACTTTGGGAACGGGACCATTTTCTAGTCTTGTAAGACCCATGAAGCAAGAGAAATTCTTGTGTGCTACCGTCGAACCAAATGGACCGTCACTTATTTCTTTGCGTGACAATCGTCTATTCACCTGGTAGTACATACTTTGAATACATGATAAATGTTTGTTGAACATTGACATTACCGAGACTAAAACATAGTTACATGAAATGAAAAATCTCTAATTACATTGATTTTTCTCAGCATTGACCCAAACGGATCGGCCCTCCACTAGTCGATCGTTCTTAAGTCCAACTCGCTCTTGTCGCCCCTTTCACTCACTCACTTGAGTCGCACTCAAAATCACATTTTTGTTTAGAGGATCATTCATTCTTCACTCTTTATATTATCCACAGGAATTGCAGCAACCAAGGTGCATATTATCATATAGAAACAAGCAAAGCATGACGATTCGTACTACTAGAAAAGTTTCGCTAACCGGTAGGCAATGGAAGTTACCGATATGCACACCTAAGATTTTATCTGCTCGAACTCGTAGAAATAATAAAAGTCGGTATAAATGGCCCAGAATTCCTTTACCATGAAAACCGTGGCTCCTCCTTAATGATCTCTTTCTACTTAAAAAACAATTTGGCTCTGCCGAACTCTTCATTCCCTTAGTATAAAAATATCGATGTACTAAAAAACTTGTTTATCTCGTTAAAGACGCTAAGATAACATGCAGCCTGCACTACTGCACACACATCACCCTAAATAAACGTCAAACAAACAAAAAAAAAATGGTAAAATGCTCCTTGCAAATACATCAATTAATCTGGTTACTTGCATGATGCACAGGCACATCATCAAGGAGGGTTATTAAGTTTGCTACATTTATCAAATTTGAAAGCTTACTGCGGTGAATCCTCGATATAAGATAATATATAATGACAGTACCAAATGAATACTAATACAACGCCCAAACCATAGTTTTTCAACCACACTTCAATTGGCAACTGCGCTTCGAGCTCGGAGAAAATCCTTTCAAAATCATTAAGATATAGGCCAGCAGCTGGAACTTACTCAATTCCTTCATTCACTTGTTGATTCCATGCATGGACTCCACAACATCAATCAAAACTAGCATTTAAGAACTTCAGCAATTCATTCCTTTTGTCTTCAGCCGCCTTGTCCTCCTTTGTCTTCTCAAGTTTCAGTAGAATCTGCAAAAAGAAAGAACACGGATTTTCTCTTTCTGTTTTTAGCCACGACCAAAGAACAAGGGATAGACCAGCGTAGATGCCCCTAAGATCTCTAATAAATCTTTGATAAACAGTAAACATATTTATTACCGAGCAAGGCTTACCTTTTTTCCAGAGACAGCACTGCGACGAACTCCATCATCTTTGTCACGGCCTAAAAACTGTAGGAAGCAAAATGTTACTTCACTGATAGAAAAATAATTAAAACAAACTACATTAAAATAAAAAAGAATATTGAAGACGTAATTATAAGAGAGTGAAATGAAAACCTTTGAAAGCTGAACAGGGCCGCTACTTCTCTCATTCTTCTGTTTCTACATATGGCTCCCATTGCCAGGAAAAAAACACAATCCAGACACATTATCCAGGCAAGCCAATGAGTACCCAGCACCATGCCACAGACCCCAGCTCCAATTTCGAAGAGCCAATCCATAAAACAGGCAGAAAGTACTATAAGCACCTCAGCAATTGAAACATAATATCATATGCATCCAGTGCCCAACACAGTGAATGCAAGAAACTGTGTGTGCGTGTCACATTTTTAATTAGCAGAACAGAACAGGCAAGTTTGAAAAGAAAATTTCCTATGTACAACTTCCTCATGCAATTTTTGTTTAGTCGTCCTAAAATTATCTACTACTCTCTGAAGCTGGATCAAGATGGAACCACAACTATATAAATAAACACATTAGAGTTGACGCATATATCTTAGTGAAGCCATTGTCTGGAACATACAATGAATCAAATTATCACAAATTTTAACAAAAAATCAAATGGAGGCAAGATGCACGATCAGCTTCCACGTCTTGTCTAACTGTCTCTAAATCTTTTTATTACTCTCTGAAGTTGGAGCACAATGGATGTACAGCAATTTTAACAAATGGCGCAGAGTTGACAATAAATAATTTTTTTAAGCAATAAGCTAGAAAAGGACGATGATAACAGCCTTAACACAATTTTAACAGAGCAATCATATGGAGGCAAGAGAGCAACATAAAACATACTGGCCTACCTCTTTGAGTTTCCTATGATGTTTATGGCGATGACTCTTGCTCTGGTCCTTTTCCTTGCTCTAGATAGAAAGGATCAATTAAATGAGACCAAAGGGCAAGCAGAAAATGTAATGTAAAGGTAATATGATTACGTCACAAAGAAATGCCGAACAAGCACCTTCTTATGTCTGTCACTCTTCTTGCGCTTCTTTGACTTACTAGATGTTTCAGGCTCACTGTCCGAAGAACTATCACTTCTGCATTAAACAAAGAAGGAAATATGTCAAAAAGCAGAGCCATCCAATTGTTGCCCGTTAATATTTCTAACATGCATCTAAACCGCACTGCCCAGTAACATAATAGTTTCAAATTGAAATTCTAAACGCAGAGAAACCAATAACAAAGCATATGATTCACTTAAGCAACTCAAAATCTTTGCCTAATTGCCATATAGCCCTTATCAATTTCCTTTAGTCAACGCACCTCACAAGGTCCGCACATCATCGATATAATCCTCTACTTTACCTTTGACAACTAAAGCTCCGGATCGAAAACCATGCTTCAATTTAACTTATGATTGATTTTAATCAACTGATGCATTTTTTTTTTTTCTAAATTAAAACGTAAGGGACCTTAACTTTGAGCTGAAAACAAACGAATTTTCCCATCTGGGTCGTTTCGAAACTTTCCATGTTAGCTACAGGAACTACACAGCACACCAAATTGCATACAAATTGCATTAAATTACAAAAACCACCTTAAACACGGAATAAAATAACCCAATTAGGGTTTCTCAGAACTAGCCACAAAATTCAAAACCCTCATCAAACAGAGGATAAAACTGAAAACAAAATTAAAGCCATCGTATCTCACAAATATTTACATCTACGACCAGAAAACAAGAGAAGGGTTTTGTAAATTGACCTGGAATCGGAAGGAGAGGAGGAAGAGTAAGAATCCGACGAGGAGTGGCGGTGGCGGTGTCTGCGGCGTCGTTTGGTGTTGGAGCGACTGATCTTTTTTCGGATCTTGAGGGCATCTTTGTCTTTCTCCTGGTCCTTGTCTCGGCAACTGCGGTTGTGGCGACGATGTCGACGGCGAGATGAAGACGAAGATGACGAGGAGGAGTCCAAGGAGTACTCAGACAACGATGAGGACGATGCCACCATGTCTCGCGGGAGAGAGAGAGAGAGAGAGAGAGAGAGAGAGAGAGAGGAGACGGAGGTTTGAGAAACTGGAGTTCGGACCACAACCTAGAAGAAACTCGTTTTTGTGCGGGGTCAAAATAAAAAGGTTTAATTACTTTAGTGGCCTGAAAGTGTCTTTGAGTACTAATTTACCCCATGATAGTTATATTTTTTTCACTTGCCCTCTAAGTATGTTTGTGTGTCCCAGTTTACTGTTGAAATTCATTAACTGTGTTTCTTATGTGTGTGCCATGTAGGCGTCAGGTGGGCAGAAAAATAAATATCTATTTTTTTTGTTTTAAATAAATATATTAACCACAAATTAACAATAGGACTATGTTATAAGTCTATTTTACTTAAGAATAATAGATAGAGAGGGAAAGAACGGCTGCAAAAGAGAAGATAATCGGATAAATTATGAGGTATGTCAATTGTTAACTAATTCTACTCATGCATTTTTTTTCGTCTGAGTAATTTTGTGCTATGTTTACTAATAATTTAGAACTCGTTTGAAAGTACTTAAAATGACTAAACAATTGTGAAAAAAAAAACATTTTTAAGTTTCAAAACCACTTGAAATATTTCTCGAAAGAAATTCCAGTAATATGCTTATTTGAGAGGCATTTTAAGTATTTCCTCCAAAGTATTTTTGGTCATTTTAAATGCATTTGCAGATGAACCCTCAAATTTTGATATATTGTAGATATGCCAAAGTTGAAGTTATTGTTTTGCCCGAAAGTCTTCAAAGTTTGTTGACCAAAAATAAAAGAAAGACTTCAAAGTCGAGACCACCCCGACACAAAAAACACAGAGCGGCCTGAAAATACAAGGCCCAAAAGAACAAAAAGGCTAAAAAATCCTAAATTTGTTTTAATTTTTTATAGTCGAGGGAAGTCAATGAATTTGGAAGATTGCTCCTATTTAACGTAATATTTGTATTTTAGATATTGAACTATGAAATGAATTATTTACTTATTCTTTTATGTGTAAGTAAAACAATAAAAGTTAGAATTTGAAGAAATTCTACTGCTCCTGTGTGAATAAAAAATAAAAAAATTATTGAACTGAAACTCTGTCGTAAAATAAAAAATTATATACTTTAAATATAGTTCTTTTGTTTGTTACCCAAGCATTTCTTTTAATTTTTCTATGAATATTAAAACCATCGTATATACTTTCCTCTTAATCAACGAGGCGTGACCTTATTTTTTCAGATAATCAAGGTATGACCTTATTTTGTTAGATATGGTATGACTTTATAAGTATTCGAATTTGAAAAAAAAAATATCATTTGACAAAAGGTTAGTTATTATTTATTTCTTTTTTAAATTATACTATTTTGTTTTATTTTATTAATTATAATTTACAATTTATATCTTTTTCGATTTATTTTGTTAATATATATCTTTATCGATAGGAATTCTAATTACAATTTATATCGTTTTAATTTGAACAATGTTTTTTCTTTTGTTGGAATTTAATTCGGACGCCTGAAAAGTATAAAAAGAAGAACGGGAGAAAAAGGTTGTTGACCTGTTTGCATACAAATCCAAAACCCTAATCGCCCTCTCTTCCTCAACCTCCAAAACCCTAGCTTCTCCCAGACTCGTACCTTGCAGTCAGGCGTCGCTCTCAATCCATGGCAACCAGTAAGGCTTTCTTCTTCTTCGTACTCCGATTATTGTTCTCGTATTTGTTTCTAATAAAATTAATATGAAAAACTAATTGGGGATTTGCAGGATTGCAATTCGAGAACTCGTGCGAGGTTGGGGTGTTTTCGAAGCTGACGAACGCGTACTGTTTGGTCGCCATCGGCGGCTCTGAGAATTTCTACAGCACCTTTGAGGGGGAGTTGGCTGATGTCATCCCGGTTGTGAAAACCTCCATTGGCGGCACTCGCATCATCGGTCGCCTCTGTGCTGGTATTCTTTTCAATTTGATATCCTTTGATATTTCTTTTCTTTTCGGTATCAATCAAGAGTTATAATTTCGATGTGTTTTTAGGAATATAAAAAAAAAACTTGTTGAAATTTCGATTTCAGGAAACAAAAACGGGCTTCTTGTGCCTCACACCACCACTGACCAAGGTATTTTTGTTCTTCCGATTTCTTTTTCTTTTTGGGTATTTTATGCTTGTGGTTATTGCGTTTCGGTTTTCTGACTTATTGAGCTTCTGTTTTCGATTTATTGAAAATTAAGAACTCCAGCACTTGAGGAACAGCTTACCTGATCAGATTGTTGTTCAGCGTATCGAAGAGAGACTATCGGCTCTTGGTAACTGCATCGCTTGCAATGATCATGTTGCTCTTACGCACACTGATCTTGACAGGGTATTCTTTCTATACTTGTTTGAAATTGTTCTTTTCATTGTATCCTGTGCAGTCTTTGTTTTCCTGCAAAAAAGCACAATTGTGTATGTGAATTCAATGCAAGTAACCCATAAACTCATCTTCACAAATTGAGTACAACCTCTTTGGAATATTAGGAAATTAGAAAGACATCATACATCTATCACAAGATGTGCCCGGTTTAGCATGTAAGAATTCACAGGTTGTACTGCAGAACATATTAAAACCCACTTTAAATGAAAAATACAACTCAATGCTGATTCGGTCAATACCACACATGCACGTCATGGTTGTCCTGCTTTTCTATGTTATATCGACCGTATGTTATTGTTGACAGTCACTTTATTATGCATAACATGACTTTCAGTGTTCACCAGACAGTTTGAATTTATTTCAGATTGATATACGTGTAATGTAATTTTGTTCAGACTTTAATGAGGAATTGAATGGTTGGAAAGAGACACTTTATTATGCATAACATGACTATTCACCATATAGTTTGAATTTACTTCAGAGTTCAGAATAATATATTTGTTAACTTTATTCAGAAGTTAAAGAGGAATCGAATGTGCATGTTGTGTTAAGACTTTAGTTCTTATATGAAGTTAGACTGCTCTTTTCCATTTAGCAGATGGCATTAAACTTTGAATCCATGCATTTTGTTCATTTCCTTTTATTTGTTATTTTTCAGGAGACTGAGGAGATGATTGCAGATGTTCTTGGAGTGGAAGTTTTTAGGCAGACGATTGCTGGTAATATACTTGTCGGCAGCTTCTGTGCCTTCACCAACAGAGGTGGCTTGGTAAGAATACGTCTTTTTGAGTTTTTGTTTCTGAAAGATTTCTACTGTCATTGTTTCATCTTTTTTGTTCCTTTGGACCCATTCTCAATCCTAATTTTAAAAACACTTGTATAGGTACATCCCCACACATCTGTTGAAGATCTGGATGAACTGTCAACGCTCCTTCAGGTCCCTCTTGTTGCTGGAACAGTCAACCGCGGTAGTGAAGTGATAGGTGCAGGCATGATAGTGAACGACTGGACAGCGTTCTGCGGGCTAGACACCACTGCCACAGGAACTCTCGGTTATTGAAAGCGTTTTCAAGTTGAGGGAAGCTCAACCTAGTGCTATTGTGGATGAAATGAGGAAATCATTGATTGACAGCTATGTCTAAACAATCTCTCTGCTAGTAAAACTCATGGATATTACCTGTTTTCTTTCTTGTCAAAGTTTTTAAATAGTTTTAACTCTGAATTTACCAAGTTGTATAGTTAACCTGTGCAATCTGGTGTTGAAATTTTGTTGAAATTGGGCAGTTTACTTTGGAGAATATGTTGTGTGACTAGTATGTTGTCGTCGTTTTGTTTATGACAATTGTGTTTTGTTCGTCGATTCTTCTTGTTTCTGAAGTTCCACGACCGTGCTAGTTGTGTTCCAGTTCCTCCTTTTAAAAAATTTTCCCTGCTGCCAGAAGTTGGATTCTGGTTGCTTTAATGCTTTTGAGATGGACAACGGAATACATTAAATACTTGGCCTCGAAATCTCACCAACTATGAGTATGTACTAACCTCATAGTCATTTCATTTCAAACGATGAGAGAATACACTACGAGTTATCCCTCATGATTACAACGGACTTTAGGGCAATCGTGCTTGTGAAGAGTTAGGCCGATCCAACTTCTTGTACTTAATATTGAAATTTTCATCTCTTTAGGCCAGCTGTGCTCGTGTACATTATATTTGGTGTGCGATTACTTACCAGCAAATAACACGAATCATTATATTTCACTTGCTCAAAGCAGATATACTACAACCATTCAACTACTTAATGAACTAAATATTTGATTAACAAACCAAGTGACATGTAGTGACATGAGGACAAGTGGATTATATTTCACTTGCTCAAAGCAGATATACTACAACCATTCAACTACTTAATGAACTAAATATTTGATTAACAAACCAAGTGACATGTAGTGACATGAGGACAAGTGGACTAATCAATAGATTATTGACGACATCCAATCTCAAATTTTAATTAAATAAAATAAATTTTATACTACACATCCATTTCCAACCAATATGATCGTCAAAAAAAGTAATAATTACACTTTAATGGAAAAGTTAAGCAACATGAAAAATATTTCTGGATCGTTTTTTTCTCTCTTAATGTCGATTGTTAAAAAAGAAAGGTTAAGATAGCTCACCTTAAAACAAGAGCTGAAGACTCGATTTTAACATGAGACTAAGCTAGAATCATATCAAAATGTAATTCATTTGATATGTAATACCCGGTTGTCTCATCTTCACCTTCATATTTTAGAATATAGCTGCACTAATTTATCGTAAACCAACCTTGCAGAATTTTACGGAACAAGAAACCAACCCAGCAGTGGATGAGTTGCCGGCAAGACGTGCGAGATGTAGCTCAGTTACATATCGGAGATATAGGTATGTTGGATTATGTGTTGAGATCAATGAATAATGTGATTGTTAGGATTCACATTGTCTGCCGTGCAGTGAACCCAACCACTCGGATTTTGAAGTACACGGTTCATGATCTTGCAGATGGGGTTACGGTGATCGTAGAAGTTGAATGGAAACTGTAACATGCATAGATTAGTTGGGATAATTAACACAATTTGACAACAAAAATCATTAAAACTTTCAATTAAATAAAAGAAAGTTTAAAGATGGAGACATACTTTTTGACAAGGGGAATACAATCATAACTTGGTCCTCAAATCTCACCAAAGTATTGAGTATAGTCTGTCATATCATCTCAAACAATGAGATAATACACTACCGAGTTATCTCTCACGATGACAACTGTGACTTTAGGCCAGTCATGCTCGTGCTAAGTCAGGCCGACCTGACTTGTTATACTTACGATTTCAATTCCATCTCTTTGAGAGAATTGTTTATTATGTTTGTTTTCGTTTATCTATTCGTTTATCTATGTGTAGTTGTATTATACCACCTTCATTGTCCTGTCCCTTCAAACAATGGGAGAACACACTGGAAGTTGCCCCTTGAGAAGACAACTGTGATATAACAGACATAAAGTCTCTCTTAACTGAATCAAAATATTTCGTTGACTGAAGCTACAGCTCCCTCTAAAAGCCTGGACATAGAGTTACTACACCTGTTTCGAACCATATGATTATCAAACCAATAACTATTAAGCTTTAATGGAAAAATAAACAAAATGAAAAAATTCTCAACCAATTTTCATAGGATTCGTATTGAAACAGATCCAATTGAAAATTTAGTTCTCAAAACCACCATGGCAAAAGAAAACAAGAAGCCAAACTCATCGAACTGAATGTCGAAGGCAACTCAGGCAAATTTAGTGACATGTGGAATATGAATTAGAATTATTTGAATTCTTGACTTGCTCATACTCGTGCATATACGTATTGAATAAGGTGTGTTTCACGTTAAAATTTGCATTGTAAAATAGAAACTAGACGACTGGGGTGGAGGGTGGGTGAAGATGTTCTCTCTTTTCCTTTCTCGATTCATGACTTCTCTCACTTCAAGTAAGTAAAAGTGCATTTAGAAGAGCATTGAACAAATGAAAGTGTAGGGCAAACATATAGAATATCAAGTGTGTATACTTACAAGGAATAGAAATTGGAATCACTATGATTCTTGAGTTCCCTGCATTAACTAAAATATGAGTAAAATAATCATTTCACTCCTTAACTTTTTCATGTGTTTACTTAGACGTAAAGAATTAGAAAAGTACAACTTTTCACTTAAAAACTCATCATCAAACACCCAAAAATTAGGAATTAAATTGACTAGAGAGACTAGTTCTTTTGTGTGAAAGCGGGAATAAACCACTTAAATTGATTTGGTTTGGTTTAGTCGGGGTAAACGGCTTTGATGGTTTTTTTTTTTTTTTTTTTTCCTTTTTTTTTCAAGCATCTCCTTTCTCTTGTCTAAATTTTAGCTCATAAAATGGGTCATGCACGAGGGGTTTGTAGACCCGTAAACATGCGCCTTACGTCATGCGAGAGTTGGTCAATACGGTGTGTGCGATATTACTAAGGTTTAGTAATATCACAAAATTTAGACTTTGTCATAGTAAACGAAGTTTTACCAAACATCAACTTTAGGAGAGATTTTCCAATGTAATGAAACGCAGCCTGCTAAATGTTATAATATAATTTGTTGATTTTATTTAGTATCCAACTATTTATATCATGACATTTGTATACTGAATTCTGCAAATTAAAAAATTTGTTCGACTTTAGACCTTTGACACGAAAAGAAGAAAAAATGTATAGACATTTAACAATTTTGTATAACATACTCATTTTTACTTCTCATACATTCTTTTAATTTTTGATCGTCGGATAAAATAAATTGTAGAATATCAAATGACAGAAGTTAAGAAGAAATATATGAAAGGTAAAAATGAGTGTGATAACAACAAATGTCTCAAATCTGAATTGTCATTACCCAAAAAAAAGAGAAATAAAAATGTATCAAATCTGCGGAAAATAGAATTAAAAAACAGAAGATCCTCTGCAACCTGAAACGTTCTTCTCCTTCCTTGCAAGCAGAGTGCATACACAGCAATTCCACGGAGTTTCGGTGAGCTTTTTCTCTCCGGTTCAGCCTTTTTGCTTCGATTCAATTGTAAATTCGTTCGCAAATCCGTCTGATTCTCGTTGAAGGCTGCAAACTTTATGTATGTTAACTTGTATACAGAAGTGGGTTGATCTCCGTTTTTCATATTGTTCTGTATTTGTATCGTAGAATTCATGATCACCATTGATTTTTTGCTGTAAATTTTCATCTGGGTATGAATAGTTCCATTCAATTTAATCCGCGTAAGCTGGATTTGTTGTACTATAATGAGCAATAATCCGTTTCGGCCGGGCAGTCCTAAGTCCTTCGTAGCCTACCCGAGTGGTGAGTTTGATTTAGAATCTGGAACATTTAGAAAACCCCGAAAGCATAGGAGGTCACCATTGCTTCCGATCAAAATGATTAGGTATATCGGAAACCGAATGCAGTATTATTGCAAGCTGCGTCCCCTTTTAGTTTTCCTCCTCTCCTTGTCAGTTGGGATCTCAATTCTCATACTTTTGTCTCTGTATGAGAGCCGGTATCAAATGACGAACAACTACCAAAAGTATGACGTGGGTTCTTCTAGTTATCCGCTCCTGAATCTCCAGAATCTAGTCATGGTTGCCGGGCATTCAGTTTATACTAGTAGTAGCTGTGGAAAGTTGATAAGGAGGATTCTTGGTTTTTGGAGTCTTACCAAAAGAATCCGGGTCAGGCTGCTACTTTTGTGGCTCATATACAAGAGGGAATTGAAGTTGCAGCCAAAGACAATAGAGCTCTCCTTCTGTTTAGTGGTGGAGAGACTCGAAGAGATGCCGGTCCTCGCAGTGAGGCACAGAGTTACTGGGCAGTTGCTGAATCAAAAGGATGGTTTGGTGAGTCTGTTATTTCTCTTGCATTAGACATGTTTTGCCTGACTTGTTTTCCATATGATTCTTTTTTAAGATAAGACTCAATTGAATGCCGATTATATGAAGAACGATATGTGGATGCTGTTTAGTTCTTATGTACTTGATTGTTTACAATCTTTTGTCTTACGCCATTCTCTGCACTCTGCAGTTGCATTGAATCTACAGTATTTGTGCTAATAATTACTTTGCTAGATAGAAAAGATGATCTGCTTTTGTACTGCTTTATTAGAAGAGTTCTTACAAAAAAGAAAATTAATTCTTTCTGGTGGTGTTATCTTTTAATTATTATTATTGAAGTGCCCAAGTAGAAAGGTTGACTAATGTAGTTTGTTGCAATACACACACAATTTAAATGTCAAATTGATAAGTTTACTGCTGACAGATATAAATATATTGACTGAATTTCCTGAAGCATGGTGATTCATGACACAGTTTCCATGTTGGCCATAGATATCACTTCCACTTAAAACCCTTGGCGAACTTGAATTTATTTTAAAGATTGTTTTTCATATTTGGGTAATCTAATAACTACACATAAGATTTCAATTTGTTGACAAGGCTGTTAACAAGATAAACCAAATTACACAAGTTGTGAAATGATAAATCCGTTGAAGTATAAGTCATTTACACATGGGGTAAGTTTATCGGAAGTATAAGTAGTTTAGTCTAAATGGGAGTCTTGGTCCGCCATTGTTCCCTGTCACTATTCTCACTTCTTGAATTTACTATAACAAAAAAATGGTAACTCTTCAAGTCTTTCATCCATTTCATCATTCTGTGTTCAATGGAAGTGCTTTTCCTGTTTTTAGTGGCATATAAGTAAGGAAGCAGGCATACCCCTGTTTTTTTGGCAAATCATATACCATCGTGGAGTGATCTGGTGCATCCGAATATTCTTTTCTGTAATCTTGCTCCCTCTTTATTCTGTTTCTTTCTCTCTGATGTATTTCTCTTTCTCTTCTCTCAGTATCATTTATGCATGAAGTACTTAAATTCGTTTTTGTTTTATGCTGAGCTGATTTTGTTTATGCTACCATTTAAATGTTCCTTCATGTTATATGCTTTTTACATTGTTTCTGGTCTGCTACGTATTGTAATGTTTTATTCTTCCTTTTGCCTTTCCCTCTTCTCCCCTCACTTTATTGTCAAAATCTTAGTTGCTTTTGTAAAGGAGAATAAAGCATGATTGTGCATTAATTTACATCCATGTTGGTCTGAACTATCTTTTACTGGCCTTTAACTCGTATAAAACTTATGCCGTGATGGTTTGTTTAGGCCAAGAAGATTTGCGATCGAGGACACTCACAGAAGAGCATGCAAGGGACAGCTTTGAGAATCTTCTCTTCAGTGTGTGCCGGTTCCGAGAACTTACTGGCACATATCCTCAAAATATAACTGTAAGCCCATTCTACCCAATCTGGTTTGTCATCTTTGAAGCTAAAATACAAGTATGGTGTGCTCGTTTCTTGTCATAGAGAAACAGTTAAGCACAACAACAACGTAGGCTGAGCATATATATGTATGTGATTATGAGTACTATACAACTTTCATTCAGCTGCACACTAGAACAAGTCAGTATTTGCATCATCCAATAGAAATATGCAAAAGACATCTCTCTCTCTCTCTCTCTCTCTCTCTCTCTCTCTCTCTCTGTGCATATACTTATGGTATGTTGCCGAGGAGAACAAAACTGTGATTGCTCGTTCATTCATACTCTTTTCTCTTAGGTTTGAAACAAAATATATAATTTCTATATGAGTTACTTTGAATATCACATAAAGGACCGCTCTGCATGATGAGTATTCCATGAAGCATGTTAAGCATTGTATCCATATTGGTTTGAAAACACAATATATGTTAAGCACGTTAAGCTCCTTTTTGGATTTTCTTAAGCTTCGTAGTATCTTTACGATTTGATTGAATTTGTTGGTTTGCCACTATTACCGAAAGCTCAAGCTGTTACGACAAATATTTTATAGTCTAGCACTTCATTTTCTCACTTTGTCCTCATTACACCCCTAGAACCCAACATGTAGAATTCATGTTCACATTGGGAGGTTGCATTGCAAGTGCAAGGATTCGAATTCAGGACTCCTGCTTTATAACCTAACATGATTGTTTTCAAACCAGGTTGTAAGTTATGATTTCAAGGAGGAGAGATTCGCGCATCTACACCGGGCTGCAATCGGCTTTCCCGAGTCAAGGTTCTTCTACGTGGGCACCCCGGCAATTTCTACTGCAAAAGAAGCAGCCCGGAAAGGAGAAGCAGTCGTGCGGACTCAATTCCTAGAAGATCCATATGGATGTCGAGGTTCACTTTACCGTAAAAAACTAGGGCGCGATCCGTTTCACCGGTCCGTTCCCTATCCAAATGGGTGTCCTGAAATTGAAGGTCTTTTCAGATATTGTGGGTCAGCTCCTTATCCAGGGTCCCTTCCGTGGCCTAAAGAGCAAAATTAATCTGGATAATTCTACTGATCTTGATGTATAGAACAGGAGAATCCACCTAACAGTCATAAAGGGAGTTCCAATCTCACAATAACATATGATTTTGTCTTCCTTTGTAAACAACATTCTTTAAATCAATAAGGGTATATGAAGGATGAGTTTTCCATTTTAGGGCACTATCAATTTTAACAGTCTACTGCCACTTAGTACTAAGGTCTAGTGATATTCTTTTTCATTTGTAAGAGAGAAGTCTTAGATTCGATTCTCGCCAAAGGCGAATTTGAACCACATTATTGCTAGTCCATTGTGAGGCTAAGCGCATCCCCCTCTCCCCTTACATAGATTATATTGTTTGTTCAGAATTTTAACAGTCTACTAGTCCTTGGGTGGCAGGTATAGTTGCATGATTTCACCGCTCGTCTCAGTTGGTAGGTTGATAGGTGGTAATTTTGAGTTTCCTAACTGCTATGCTTGGTGTTTAAGGTTCAGATTTGTTTTTTATTTGGGACTAATGTTTGTATGTGTTTAGGGTTCAAACACCTAAGATGAGACTTTGAAGAGTTAGTTTTCTGCCATCATTGGGTCAGGTATGGCCCCATGACATGACATATCATGGGCGGCTTGGAATGCCATGATCCATCGGTGGCCCTAAAGGCCCAATACCCAAAGGTCGGATGAATGTCATATTCCGATGAGGTAATTTATGGTTTGTTCACGATGTCAAGGGTAAAACCGTCATAGTGAGCGTATAGTACAATTGTTCTTCTTCTATTAGATGTGGTTAATTTATAGCACTTCCAACGTGCTGGGTAGCCCGGTGGACAAGGAGCAAATCCAATACAATTGCCTCCCAAACTTGCTCCAGCCTATGCGGGCAATTGAGCTAAGGGAAACCCGTGGGAGAAGGCAGGCAGGAGTCCAAGGTTCGAGTGCCTGAGGCATTTATGATGCAAGCTGACGTTAGCCACGTTATAAAAAAATTTAGGTCAAGCGCGTGCATAACACGCTCGCGTGGGGGCGCGTCACCGACAAGATTTCAGGCAATGAGGCCCGCGGTTTATAGTCTGATATGTTACCATTACTGGGTGCAACGTGGCACCCTCTCGGCTGTTGGATTTCAATGGCTCTTTTTTCAAGACCGTTTGATTTCCAATAGTAAAAAAAAAAAAATTTAAACTCCCCCAACAGTTAGATGACGTGGCGCAATCTAAACCGTTCGATTCCAGATCAACGTTCCACGTTTTTCGGCTTTAAAATTTTTTTAAAAAAGGAAAAAAAATCTGATATGTTACTGTTATGCCATGTGTCACAATCTGGAGGGTTGGATTTCAAATTTTCTGTAATCCAATGGTAGAAATTAATTAAGTTAATAAAAAAAAAAGTTAAAAAATTAAAATCAAATAAAATTCGAAATTAAAAAAAATTATTTTATTTTCTATAAATACCTTATCTTTATCTTCCACCTTACACCACGCTTTCATATTTTCTCAAATATTTTCCACCACATTCCAATCTTTCTCTCAAAGTTTCTATATACTTTTGTTTCCGAAAAAAATGGCTAATGATGCGGGTACTAATTGGATGATTATTGAAGATATTACGTTGTGTTCTAGTTGCGTTGACTCATGATCTGATTACCGGTGATGAGATGCAGTTGCGAGAAATGTGGAGCAATATTCATTCCCTTTTTCTTGAGAAAATTGGTGGCAAAAGAACGGAACAATCGCTCTCAAGTCATTGGAGAATACTCAGCCAATCGTTTACTCATTGGAGAAACGCCTTGGCACAAGCTAGTACTAATATTCGAAGTGGAGATAATAACGCGGATCAAGAAGCAATATATTATTTATTTGTTTGTACTATACCCAAATTTACATTAGCCTCTTTGATTATAATTTTTCTTCTCCTGCATTTTGTAGACACTTCAAGTACAAGCTTAGTATAATGTCAAAAACAAAAACAAATCATTCAACTGGTGAAAATGTTGGAATATTGTCAAAGATTACCATCCCATCTACACTCTATGCTAGATCATGACTCGCATGTTCATGAAAACGACACAAATCAAGTGCCAAAAGTGACCCCTGAACAAGTGTCAAGGTCGACCCGTTGTCCACTTAGAGCTAAAGGTAAGAAGGCTTCAAAGAGAAAAGGGAGTTCTTCCAAGAATGATTATGCAAAATATATGGAAGAACTTGCTCGTCAAGGTGAATTGACTTTGGTGCAGGTAATGGCTAAATTTGAGGCTATAAGGCTAGAGATGAGGCAAAAGTTGCAATTGCTGAGAAATTATTTAAAGCTAATGAGAGAGAAAGATAGCTACTTAGGCAAGAAAGGGAAGAGCTTAAAGAAGAAAGAAGGGCTTAACAAAATCGTGACATTATGAAGGAGCCTGTAGATACAATGTCTCTAAATTCTAAATATTTTTGGAATTCGGAGAAAGCGGACTTGGTGCGAATGAGGCGTGCAAGAGAAGAGAGACCAAGTGGAGATGGTCCTAGCACCACAAATTGGTTAGGTGATGATTTTCCATTAACCAAGGACTAGGAAATTTGTTGCATAATCAGATAGCATAATTTTCCAATCGTTTTGGGTTGTAATTTCGTATTTATTTAATCTGGTATTTTATTTAATTTCGTATTTATTGAATTGAGTACTTTATGTAATTTTGTCACATCCCGGCCCGGGACGGATCACTTCCCGGGCCCGCTCCACCACCGTAGCACGATATTGTCCGCTTTGGGCTTACCATTCCCTCACGGTTTTGTTTTTGGGAACTCACAAGCAACTTCCCAGTGGGTCACCCATCATGGGATTGCTCTAGCCCCCTTCTCACTTAACTTCGGAGTTCCTATGGAACCCGAAGCCAGTGAGCTCCCAAAAGGCCTCGTGCTAGGTAGGGATGGGGAAATACATATAAGGATCACTCCCCTGGGCGATGTGAGATGTCACAATTTTGTATTTATTTAATTTAGTACTTTGTTTAATTTGATTCTAAACAGATTGTAACACGTAGCGCGACGAGATTGGTTAAAAATCTTATCAGAAATTTATCCTCAACGATTCTAAAAAGGCAACGACATGTGGCTTAACGAGACTGGTTAAAAATCCTATCTGAAATTACAAATAAAATTATTTTTTATTATTTTATAAAATAAAAAATACTAATATTTTATTGTCAATTGTCATGACTATTCAATTTAGGAGTGGAGATGCAAAAGGCAATTACTGTTCATTAAAGGCACTTACTATTCAGTGGAGAAGATTTAATTGCCAATTGCCATGGAGGCCTTCCTACACTGGAAGTGCTCTTATGTCTCCACAATTACTATTCATAGTATTTAAAAATTAATAATGTAAATAGTAAATTATTGTATGGATGAGATTATTTTTTTTTCTAATGTTTTCTAATTTAGAGTTGTGGCTAACATCAGTGTGACGTCAGCTTGATATCATCTGCCTCAGGCACTAGTAGGGGCTCGGTCTGGCTAATGCCTTTGTGGTGTTGAATCCATTTGGGATTTTAACGTCAAATCCACACATGCCTCCTCACGTGTAGCAAAGTTTGTGAGCCTAACACGCAGACAATTTTATTTGAATGACGTAAGTTCAACCACAAAACCATTTCAAAATAGGGAACTTTAACGAAAAACTTCTGGTACTATTCACTTTAATAAAAAACCATATTTATACACTAAAAAGTCAATTCTGATATTATTCACTTTACCCTTTATTTTGTCATTTTAGTTAAAACTCAAAGTTTTCAAACCATTTTCATTAGTTTCCTTTCAAAATAAGATGTGTGATCCAACTCCTTAATTATGAAGCCTTTCGAAATGAACTTTAACTTCACATCCTCAAATCTTGTATATCTTTTTCAAAGAAATTTTATATTACTACTTAACTATGGACAAATTGTTGCGAAAGGAATATCGGTTGTCACCCAAAAGTAAGGGAGAAAATTAGTATTATTATAACCACTTGGGTATTAAAATTTCTTTCTTATTAATATTCCTTTGGACATATATATTTAAGCTTAAATGAATCATTATTAAATTATTAGTAGTAATAGTATATTGGAAAGGCTGTGTACATTGGCAAAACTTGTTTAAAATGGCGACCCAAGCCAAATAGGTTCTCTATTTTGGGAGTTGAGAGGGGAATGTCTATCATACGCAATCTTACTCTTACTTAGTAAAACTTGTTTTTATCTTTTAATCTATGCCAAATTTATGCGATTAGTACTCTAGTTTAATGATTTTTTTACTCATAACGAGAGATTTGAAGCTTGCTCGCTTGAATGACGAATTTGATACCTATTTCTTATGAATGATCCAATATGCCGTTTTGCCCAATCAAAATCTTTACTAAACTATGACTAAAATAAACATATTTATGAGCTTATTGTGAAAATTCAATGAGGAATTAGTTGAAAGAGTACTCTATCCCACCTCATAGAATTGAATATTATTGTATATAAAAAATAAAATAGAAATCTAGGCTTACATATATGATTATCTTTTATGCTAAAAAGATATATTTTTCATTGTTTTGCCATTTTCTAAAGAGATTAGTCCGAACAAGTTACTCCTTGGTTAGTGCAGGGGTTCGGCAAAACTGGCCGAACAAGGCCGATAATCGTAATGGACGGTTATTTTGGTTCGGTTTTGATTATGAAATGGTCGAACAGTTTCAAAATCAAATCAACTCATATCGTTTGGTTGTGCTAATTTAACTTTTGTTGTTTGTTGCCGTTTAGTATTACAGTCTAGTGATATTCCTCTTCACTTATAAGTGAGAGGTTTTATGTCACATCCCAACCCGGGATGTGGTGGGGGCCCCAACCCGGAAAGTCAAGTAGGACTCCGAATCGAGTTGTGCTAACCGACACCTGAAAGGTGACGAAGCCATAAAATGTAGTGATGAGGAAAATGTGAATAAATTTAAAACTTAAATGTGCCTAATTACGAGTGCGTTATGAGTGGGAATGAACTCGTTTCACACGTGATTACAGAGCATAAATAAAGTACAGTAGAGTAAGATAAGAATTATGCCATCAAAGGTAGTCACTTATTTTGAAATATGCCGCTCCGTCGCGATTCAGAGTGCATCATAATTAGGTACAATTAAGTTTTAAATTTATTCACATTTTCCTCATCACTACACTTTATGGCTTCGTCACCTTCTAGGTGTCGGTCAGCACAGCTCAATTCGGAATCCTACTGGACTTTCCAGGTCGGGGTGTATCATTTTAGTTCGATTGTCACCAAATGTGAATTTGAACCATATTATTGTTAACCCATTGTGAGGTTAAGCCCACCTTTCTTCTTTAGTATAAATATTATCGTTTGTCTAAAAAAGAAAACTTTTGTGGTTTGTTTGCATTGGGCGTGTGCAGTTACAAAACAATTCAGCTAAAATATAACATGTGGTGATGCAGTTTTAAAATTAAATAATTAATTTTTATTTTCATGATTATTGATAGTGGAGTTACAAAACAATTCAGCTAAAGATGTTTAATTCTTGTAATTCACCATTAAGTTTGAGACCCTTTAATCTTTTGTGTTTATTACCCTATCAACGAAGGTGTGATCCTAGAGCTATACTTAGAAGCATTTCTCCATCATTTGCTTCATTCCTCATCTCTCAGTCATCTTCTTTCGACAACCATCTTCTCTCCTCATCAGATCTTCCTTGTGTTTTCTTACTGGCCAAAGGACTATTTATGTTGTGTAGATATGCTTGAGTTACAAAACATTTCAGTTAGGCTGATGTATTATAAAAAGGGTTCGAAATCCGTCAGCTTCCTCATTTAACACCTAACCACTAATGATATCATGTATTAAAAAAAACTACTAAAATGACAGCCATTTAAATCAATGGTTATACGATTTTTGATTTTGGTGATTTTTTAGTAAAGATTATCTACTTAGGACGACTTAAAATAGACGGTTAAACTATAGAGATATAATTTGGAATAAGTTCTACCAAAACCTTTCTCATATAAGCTTATTCGAGGAGTTCCTGAATCATACGGTTTAAGGTATAAGATAACTACAAAGTCACATTAAGAATAAAACGTTATTTCAAAATCACAGGTCAAAACTAAGGTCGCTATCAATAAGTTATGAACATCCATATGAGAGGAGCATTCCAATAAAGAAATATATCCGACACCATAAAGATATTTAACGACTATCGATGAAAGCTGGCCATGCTCTCATCAGCACTAGTCTATATCCGGTAACAGTAAATTTACAAATAATTGGTTTGGGGTGGGGGCGTGTGTGTTGCGCCTCATCACCAAGTCCTAAACAATGAAGCAAACATATATTTCGAAGCTCTATGTCTCTCTGTTTCTATAAATCCAAGATTTCGGCAGCCACTGTGGAGTTGGAAACAAGAAAACCTAATTACAATGAAAAGGAAGTTAATGGATCAGAATATGGGATCAGAGATTAGAAGTGCCATTGAAGAACTCTCCGTTATGGTCAAGGTTAAAGGTGCTATATTGGTCCCAGCGGCTGAACATGGTGGTGGTGATCATGCTCACGAGGCTGCTCATATTCCCACCAGGCCTTTTCTTTCTCTCTGCAGCTTGCTTCTTCAAGTTCTTGGTCTCTCCCCCCCCCCCCTCTCTCTCTCTCTCTCTCTCACACACACACACACACACACACAGAGACATATATATATATATATATATATATATATTACGCACCCTGCCATGATCAAATACCACTTACAGTTGTTTTTTCCTTTTTGTAGATAAAATAGGACCAACAATGGCTGTTCTAAGCCAAGATATTCATCAAAATATTCGGGTAATTACAAAGAATCTTAGTATTTATATGTGTATGCATATATTGTATATCGATGTATGAACAATTTATACACCATATAGAATTATGTTTATATTGATACACTTAAATAGTTAAATACGCATATATATATATATATATGCAATGCAAGAAAACATGATATTGTTTCTTCTAGGACCTTCATGTAGGAATACATATAGTATATGCTCCACATGCTGAAGTGTCTCCAGAAAGCTTTCTTATCCATTAGCAACGGTTTTCCAATGTGAAACTTTATTTCCAAGTCCACTTTATCTCCCTTTGACTATTCATGGTAGCAGAAACAACCCAAGATGCATGTTTGAAATAAGTAATATTGATGCTTTGATGTATCGAGCTGTCTTCATCGTGCACCGATAATTTTATGTTTAATATGCAGTACTGAAATGATTGATTTGTCTTTTTTAGTAACCACTCTACTTATTGTTTTATATATATGTGTAGAGATTGGAAACGAAACATGAATCAGATCTTTCGACATATTCAAATATGGTTGAGATGTTGAAAAATGAGGCGACTGAAGGCATTGCTAGAAACGTTACCAGTTGTAGTAGAGCCTTTGTTTGGCTCACCAGGTAATTTAATTACTGTGTTTGCCCTTGACTATGTGAAAAACAACGAGAACCGTCTATATATAATTGGGCGGAGAAATTTAAAAAATTAATTTGGATTTAACAATAAAGCCAAATGTTACCCAAAATTTTGAGATTATTACGTATGAAATGACTGTGTGAAAAGAATCATTTTGAAATCCATTTTTGTTCTTTATTTCCTTCTTGTCCTAGTCTTCATCAATTATAATAATCTAAAACAAATAAATTTTTTTATCTTATGATGTCATATATATAAATCCTTATCAAATCCAAATGGCCCCTTACGTATTATCAAATCTAATAGTTCTTGTCAAGATTTTAGAGAGGTGACCAATGACTCACCAGAATGTAGTACTAAGTAGCGAGTTATGCAATTATTCAATTATTTATAATTCACTAATCGGCCCTACTTTATTTTTTGAGATTAGACGTTACTTATGCATCAAAGTTGTCTTTCATTGCTAATGATAACAACCTTATAGTACTTACACCATTATTTAGGTGTATAATTGGCACAAATTCTTGGATGTATCAACTACTTCTTGCACAAGATGCTTCATTTTTGTTATAAACAAATTGGTTTGTTCCACATTCAGATCCCTAGATTTTACCGTGGCCTTGTTGCAAAATTTAGTGAGAGATCCCGGGCAGAATATGCAGCAGACAGTGGAAGAGTCTTACAACATTACTTTGAAGCCATGGCATAGGTGGATTTCATCAGCTGCTTCTAAAGTATTACTCTCTTCTTTTTCAAAAGCTAGCTATATAGCTATTCATTATTTGTTCCACTGTTACTGACCCAAACTGAAGCAACTTATCTAGCTATTCATTAGGTTCAACACACAGTCATGTTAACACTGAGTGACATGATGTGTCGTATCAATTTTGCTTATAATTTTGATGAACTAAATATACTAAACCATCGTGTCACGTGATTTATATGGAATGACTTTTCTCTATAAGGGGTTTTCTTTTCTAACTAAGCCTATTATTGCTATCCAAGAAGGACCATGAATAGCTGAAACTTAAAATTTAACAGCATGGAGACAATGGCCCACATGGAGCAACATAAAATTTTACTTGGAATTACTAACAAATATACCGTATGCAGGTAGCTCTAATGCTAGTGCCTGACAATGAAACATTCATTAGTAGCCTCATGGCAAAAGATGAAAACTATGACAATTTGAAACTGGAAATAGAGACCATGGTTTCCTTACTCGTGCCTTATCTGGAAGAAATCCACTTGATTCTGGTTAAGTATTCAACCACCCAACGCCTACCGGATGCTTCTTCTTTGGCTAACATATGTTTTGACATGTTTGATTATACTTGGTTTTTGCAGAGATTTTATCACTTGGATAGGTTGAAGTCTAACTGAGGTACAAACGTAAAGAAAGCAAGACTAATGATTGTACAGCCATGAGTCAAAGAGTCCAGCATTCCTGTGTATATGTGTGTGTGTGTGTGTGTGTGTGTGTGTGTGTGTGTGTATGTGTGTGTAGATAAATATGTGGAAATCGTATTTGGTTATGTGTAATTAATAAAGCAAAATTGTCTTTGTGTTTCGTATAAGTTTCTAATGTATCTCAATATGAAGGAACATCTATCTATGATATCCTCTGTACAGTTTTATTGGAAAATACTCACGAGTTTGGGTGCTTATGAATCTTTGCTTTTCGTATAGTCGGTTTCCAGCATCAGGCATCACTTGAAAATGAGTACATAATCCTTAGAAAGTGTTTTGAGGATTCATTAGCTCCAATTGCAATGAGCTGTTATGGAATGATTAAATCACAAATACTATGCTTGATTTGATGAGAGGGATGTGGTCTGAAAGCTAAGGACTCACAAGTTTAGCAAGAGAGATTATGCATTAAATTTCTCTCATGCGCATCTCGTACCTGTACATGAAATGAGCATCAACTTACTTAATTAAATCATAGTCACTCGTTTTCATTTGAAAAAATAGAAGGCTGAGATTTGATGAAGTAAGTTAACGCTTATTCCATACACATGTGCGTGATACGTCTGAGAGAAAGTTTGATGCATGAAATTCCTTTATATATGATTATAGTTTGGGCTTAATTAAGAGGTGTTTTCATAAGGTTTCTATAGTAATTATTAAGGCTAGGAATATCTAAGTTCAATTAGCTGAGTACATCGTAGTTCAAGCCTGCATGCTATACCATTAAGTGCAAAGGTAGATTTTTGTCATCATTCTAAAGTAGGTGGTAATACTCATTACCCTATTTATTACCATTATATACAATTAAATTTTGAGATTTAAACTCATTTAACAGTGATAAGTCGGATGGTGACAAGCATCACCATCACTAGAGGACAGAGAGCAAAAATATTCACTAAATGCAAGGCACTTCGTTTTCTCCTCCAAAATTGGAACATGTGCAGAAAACCAGCGCGCTTCAGCTTCTCTCTTGTGCAAGGAATTGGGCAACTATTAGTATTCTGCGAGACCGAGGGCTTCGACTAAAGAAGAGAATCCAAAGCGTTACATATTTAGCAAGTGACCTTTTACTAGAGTAGTGAAAAAATGTTGAGTCATTGTATGATGGCGAGTTCAAATTTCATCGGTGACTAATCTAACATCTCATCTAACAAAACCTATAATTTGACAAAAAAAAAATAGCGCTACATACTTACAAAAAAATAAATCCCAATGCTATTTTAACAGAAAGGCTGACTGATAGTGAACAATTCTTTGAACAAGCAGTCGAGGACTTGTCAACGCATTAAAAATGAAAATAACAAAAACATTACATCCGCAAGCCAGCCAGCTCTAAAAATTCAGATGATAGAACTATGTGGACAAAAACGACCGCCATCGAAAGTACTACTTTGACTAACCAACTAGATGATAAAATTGTTTCACAAATTTTTACTCCGTCCTGCGTCACTGAGCAAAGAAAAGCCCAACTATTCGTCCACGTGCCCTCTTCTTATCTGTATAGATAGAGATGGCAAAACCACCACCCTTGCTTCTGCATGTCAATTGTATCAGACACAGTGCAATTTCGTTTGGGAGCAAATTGCAGTGTTTTGGTCAGTGGTTGACCTGTGGTATGCAGTTGTTATTGCATGTAAAGACCCAAAAAATGCAGTAACATTCATGCAAATATATCGTCTTTATTTTTAAATGAGATATTGCACCAGTACCTTACAGATAATCACAAATATTTCCATATAAAAAACAGCTTAACAAAATTCCTTAACATGTAGCTAGCTTTGTGTGCCTAATGGGCATAAATTATTGATTTACTAGCAATACTATTAGGTTTCATAGGAGAGTTACTAAAACTACCCTGTGCTCCTCAGGACTGGGCAGGTTGAAGCTGTCTCTTCGGAAGAATTACCCAATTTCGCACCCTTCAGAAGACCTCCAAGTAGTTGTCCAGGGTCATAGAAGAACTCCACCTTAACAATTTTCTTGTGTTCATCCACCTGTTTGTTTGGTAAGTTTGTTAGGATTTTTCCATGATCTGAGTAATAATAAAACCATAGTTTAGGGCATATCAAGAAAACAAATGGACTTATATTAATATTGGACTTGCAGTAATTTAATTATGATAAATTGCAGGGAAACAATAGAACTCAAACTTATAAATTAGAGTTGGTTTTAAACTCTAAAAACTGACATGTAACTGTTGCCACAATAGGAGGAGCAGTTATCATTTTAGACGATAAAAATAGTTTGGTCCCTCTTCTAAGATTACCATGTTCATATAGCACTAGTCCTATTGAAAGTGAGAACTATTCCGAATCCAAGAGAAGAGTAGAACCTTGCTGCTAGATTTTCATGGCGAATCCTGCAAGTAAGCTTATTGTCTTGTACATTTATATGGAATACTTTTACTGAGTGATGATTTCGTGTTGATGTAGTTTATGGTTTGTGTGATATCCCACATCGCCCAGGGGAGTGATCCTTAAATGTATAGTCCCATCCCTATCTAGCACGAGGCTTTTTGGGAGCTCACTGGCTTCGGGTTCCATGGGAACTCCGAAGTTAAGCGAGTAGCGCACGAGAGCACTCCCAGGATGGGCGACCCATCGGGAAGTTCTTGTGTGAGTTCCCAGAAACAAAACCGTGAGGGCGTGGTCGGGGCCCAAAGCGAACAATATCGTGCTACGGTGGTGGAGCGGACCCGGGATGTGATGGACCCCGGGCCGGGATGTGACAGTTTGGTTGATGATGTTGTTGGTAAACAATGAATGTTTACAAAGTTAGGACAAACAATTAATAAAATGGAGAAATATTTCAATTTTTAAAGGGATAGTAACATAACGTGAAATGAAAAAGAATGAGAGCTTCATTTGATTGGCCAAGTAGGGTCAGAGAAGCTCAGAAGTACCGTAAAAATGGCCATTCCAAAGAACTCAACCATTTCTCCAGTGGGAGCATGGCCCTTGAAGGGGCCCTCCATGTAACCCCAGTGCCTGAATTTGTAGACAATCTCTGGTGGCCCAGAATAAACTTGGAGGACCTCCAACGCAAATCCACGAGGGAATGTTGTGGTGAAAGACTTGAGCGATGATTCTGCTGTTTCCTCATCTGGATTATATCCCCTGAGTTTCTCGGGCAGTGAGGTCTGCAGAAAAGAGTTATATCCTCCTCCAATTTTCCCTATTTCTTCAATATTTATGCCTTTCCTTCCTGATCAAAGTATTAGTAATTAATTAGTATACATGGAAAACATTAAGTATCTAATTAATGAGTTTTGGATTGCACCAGCTAGCTATTAGTTTGTTAATTACCATTTACGCTGACAGTGTATTTGTTGGGATCAAGTGTTTTGAAATCATCAGGGTTGGACTTGTGGAAAAGCTCCATCTCCCATGTCTTTACAAGGTTCTGCACCTCTTCTTCCAGTGACCCGGCTGGCCATATCTGAGTTTGACGCAGATTTTAATTGATCCATCAAAGAAAATGAAACGTCGATCTCTTGTACAAATATAAAAAGGGAAGTTGATGCATATCAAACACACGCAACAAATTCATAGCAAGCAGTCACACACACACACACACACACACACATATATATATATAGAGAGAGAGAGAGAGAGAGAGAGAGAGAGAGAGACCTTTGTTCTGCCTTCCTCAAAGAGCTTGTTAGCAACATCATAGCTAGGAGTGGCACCAAAATTCCATTTGGTGTTCTTTTCTCCATCTCCAGTCAAATGGGAACGGTACTTGTCTCCCTCAACACCTAAAGATGCCATCCTCAACGTAGGGTAGAAGCAAAGACTACTACTGGATAAAATGTTTTGCAATTTCCTTCAACCGGGGTCTCTATTATATAGGCAACAAATGGTGATATAATATAGTTAGAAAATAAAATAAAATAATAATTTTATGATCAGACAAAGTATATTTTTCAACGAGAGGTGTCACATCCCGGCCCGGGTCCCCTCCACATTCAGGGCTCGACTTCACCACAGCACGATATTATTCGTTTTGGGTCCCGACCACGTCATCACGGTTTTGTTTTTGGAAACTCAAACGAGAACTTCCTAGTGGGTCACCCATCCTGGGATTGCTTTCGCGTGAACTCGCTTAACTTCGGAGTTCCTACGGAACCCGAAGTCAATGAGCTCCCAAAAGGTCTCGTGCTAGGTAAAGATGAGAATATACATATAAGGCTTATAGGATCATCACCCCTGGGCGATGTGGGACCTTACAAGGCCAAAGATTGGCTCTAATACCAAATTGTCACATTCCAGCCCGGTCCCCCACCACATTCCGGGCTCGACTCCACCATGAGAATATACATATAAGACTTACAGGATCATCACCCCTGGGCGATGTGAGATCTTACAAGGCCAAGGATTGGCTCTGATACCAAATTGTCACATCCCAGCCCGAGCCCTACCACATCCCGAGTTCGACTCCACCGTAGCATGATATTGTCCGCTTTGGGCCCAAACCATGCCCTCACGATTTTGTTTTTGGGAACTCACACGAGAACTTCCTAGTGGACACCCATCTTAGGATTGCTCTCGCTCGAACTCGCTTAACTTTGGAGTTTCTACGAAACCCAAAGCCAGTGAGCTCCCAAAAGGCCTCGTGCTAGGTAGAAATGAGAATATACATATAAAGCTTATATGATTCTCACCCCTAAGCGATGTGGGATCTTACAGGAGGTTATATCTATATTTTAATTTCTCATAAACTTCTTTTTTATGTTTATGTTTGAATTAAATAAAAGTCAAACTCCATAGACTTTATCCAAAGAGATCTCCATTTTTATTTTTATTTTGTGAAAATAGAGACTAGTTGTGGGGATTTTCATTTTTTGATAAAATTAGAACTAGTTACGAGATCCATTATATATCGAGTTTCAATGATTTGAACTGTCTATTTTTAAGTCATTATTCATTCATACACTATTAAGGTACTACATAACTACACTATGGATTCAGGTACTACATAACTGTATTAATTGGTACCGCATACATTAGTATTATCGGTATTATCCCATAGATTCAGGTACCACGCTACATAACTACATTATGGATTCAGGTACTACATAACTACAGATTGTATACTTATGTAGTACCAATTAATCGAACTATATGACGTCTCTCAGTATATTTATCTCATGTGCTTCCATGTGATCAACAAAATAATGTGCTTACCTGTGTGGTTCTTCTAAATGTCAACTTTATTTCTTGGATTTTACAGCGTCTCCATTATTCTTAGAAAAGTTTAATAGTTCATTGGAAAATAGAGAGGCGTGTAATAGTTTCTTTTCAAAAATCAAACTGCTAACATTCTAGCTTTCACATTACATATTAAGAAATTTTTAGAAAAGTTTTATGTGAACATCGATGGAGGTTAATCTTTTTTATGGTATTGGCACAGATTGTCTCATTTGTAAAATTCAACTATCACATGCACTTCCAAGTGTAAAGCCAAATTGCGACACGTACTCCATGCACCTCATTTGTGTTGTTCATGTGTTTGCGTTTAAAAAATCACCAAACATGAGTATGAATGTTGAGAATGAATTCCACATTGATAGGAGAAGAGACCTTACATAGACTTATAAGTTGAACAACTTCTTATATTGTCAATTGATTTTATGATAAAATCTCAACTTTCTTTAGTACTGAAGCTAGAATTTTATCACAATAGAGACGTAAAAGAGAAACTCCTCAATAATGTTCCACTTCACTTTACATTTTCTGTAACGATTTCTTATATTTTGCATATTCTGGATTGTCTATAAATTTAGTCTCTCAAATCAGTTTCTTATATACTCTAAGGCGGATGCACAATGTTGTTTGTGGTTAAGTATTCTTTGAACCAAATGTGCACTGATTAAAATATGCATTATATTGCTCAGTGCACTGGTTACCCTCAGGCTTGGTGTACCGTTACTTCAGGCTTGGTGATAAAATCCAAAGTTCTACAACAATCTTCAGCTCTGCACATTTCATCAGCTTGTAACGGTTGCAGACTCGAGCTATGGCAACTTGGTGCCTATGTATACTAATAGCATCTCCAATTATGTTTTCTAATTTTTAATTAAAAATACTAGAAAGTTAGTGTAGGAGCTCGTTAGAAATTTTTTACTCCCTTTAGCCAAAAATAATAATAATAATTTACTCCCGAGATTTATATTAATTGTGGACCAATAAAAATAGTTATTATTTAAAAAATCTTTAAAATTTTAGTAATTAATGCTTGAAACTAATTTCCCACTCCCGAGATTTAAGAGAATCTTTATCTTAGGAGGTGGATAGGAAGTGTGATTAGAGAATGATTCTTCCAAATTTTCTCTAAACTTTAATCAGAGCTCATTTAGGGAGCCCGTTAAAAATGCTTTAAAGTCATCTGCAACCGAAGGATCCAGAGGGTCGAAAATAGCCTAAAAACTGTCTTTAACCAAGAGCCAGGCCAGAGGGTTGGTGGGCCCCGATGGACAAAAAGGGCCGTAGGGCCAACCGGCCAGCCAAACCAGCCAGCCAACCGGGCCCGGGCCAAGCTGAAATTTTGAATCCCAAACAGCTAGTTGACGTCAGTTACCATTGGTTTTTTTTTTTTTTTTTTTTTTTAGACCAAAATTTTTTCGTATAAATGCCTAAGCCATTCATACACCATTCCTCACAAATTTTTCACCATTCCTATACCATTTCAATTCTCATATTTTCTTACCTCTTCCAATAATCTTTCCTTCGATTTTTTTCAATAATTTTCAAATGGCGTCATCTGCAATGAAAGGTAGGGCTTGGACCCGAAAAGAAGATGAAGCTCTTTGCAGGGCTTATAGGTGGGTCTGGAAAGATAATGTGAGGGGGGAGTTCTCAAACAAGTGAAAGTGTTTGGATTCGTGTGTCCAAAAAATACTTAGAGTTCTACAAGGCACCACTCCACCGAATACCCAAAACCACGAGAGTTGTTTTTCAAGATGGAAGAAACATCTTCAACCAAGTTTGAACAAATGGCATCAAGCACTGTTAGCAGCCACAAGTAGACATGAAAGCGGTGCCAATTACTACGACGAAGTTAGTGTTTTCACAGTTTATTTTAAATCTTTAATTATATTACATTTAATTTCATAAATTAATTTCCTTTAATTTTTGTAATTATATTTTCTGGATACCCCAAGTGGAGGAATTATATATGGAGGGCAGCTCGAAACCCTTTAAGCATCAAGGTTGTTGGGAAATTTGTAAAGGGTGGGTGTTATTTGAAGATCCACCTCAACATAGAGTAGCTCCTATGCCAATGTTTGGAACTCCATCGTCAGCTATAGATATGGATGAAGATGAATCTCCTACCATTCAACAAACAAGCGTGCCACCTCCGTCTTCAGGTGAAACTTCCATACCTAGGGCTATGGGATGAAACAAGGCCTAGAGGTTGAAGGAAAAGGGCAAGGCAAATGATGATTACGCCGCTCAACAGGGAGTGGCAGAGTCATTGCGCTTAATGGCGGAGCAAAATGCCATTGTCGTGGAAGAAAGGAACCATAGGCATGAAGAATGGGCCAGATAAATACAAGAAGAAATGGATGATAAGAATATGGAAAGAAACACTTTGAATTACATTCCATTGAGTAAAGCCTATTTTGATAGGGAAAAAAAGGATATTATGACCCGGCAGCAGTTGTTTACCTCTGACTATATTCCTATAATGGCGGATGATGAAGATGATGAAAATAATGAAAATAGTGAAAATGATGATTAGTTTGCATTTTAAATTTAAGAAGTATTGTAGTTTTTAAATTTAAGTTGTAATTTTTAATTTAAATAATAAATTATGTTTGGCCCTCAGTTGGAGATGATTTTTTGTAACAAAGCTAAAACGAGCCATCTGGCCCTCGGTTGGAGATGGTAAGAAATATGATCATGCACTGTTCATTAAAATATTAATTTCTTGGAGAACCAGAGGACTAAAACGAGTCCTCTGACCAGCTCTCGGTTGAAAATGGGCTAACAAGTTCTATAAAAAAAAAACTGCTTAACAACTAACCACCTATTATAAACCAACAACTACTAAAAAGAGAACACATGCAAAAATCAAAATTTGTCATTTAACAAATGACTTGTCCAAACTAAAATGACATGGATAGACACCTCATCGTCCTAGCATTGCCTGCCCCATCAAACAAATCTTATCCTCACGGTTTAAGAATCTTTAGGTCTCGTAGAGGATTAGACTGGAATGGATAAGCAATTATTTTCAATCAAAATAAAAATGAAAATTTTGTGACCAATTTAAAAGTAGGAGATGGATTACACGTAAAAAAAATGCATCATTCCAATCCTCTCATCTACCTTCAAAATACATTGGGTTTAGTGAATTATCTATTCCATTCGAATCCTAGTCAAACGAGCTAAAACTGATATAGCTGATTTCGTTACCCTTCTTTACTATTGTCCTAGTCAACGGTTTATCTTGAATATTACAAAATGTTTATCCATAATCTAAACCCTTATTGGAAGGGATGTCTGGTACACATGATTAAATTGGAATAGATACGTTAATGATTTTTTATTTGGAGTGAACGAAGAGATGATAAGAGAATCCATCCATTTCTAATCCTACCATTTTAATAAAAAAATGAAGTGGTCCAAATGGATAAGTTTCCTTCAGAGTAATTCATCTACTGTCCTCTTCTAATGGTAATAGTTTGAAAATTTCTTCATTCAACGTACCTTTAATTTAGTAGGTTAATACATTTACAACCAAAGAGACTAGTTGGAGACGAAGCTTGATATTTTTTTTTTTTTTTGAAAACGGGTTAATATTTGTGTTTACAGATTGGACGAGGGACAACCATTTTGTTGATGTCATTTTTACACGACACTTAGACCTGGTTTGGTACTGAGGTGATTTTGAAAAAAGCTGCTATAAAAAAAAGTTAGGAGCTATTTTTGTGTTTGATAAACACTCAGCTTCAGCTTTTTTTCACAGTTTTGGATGAAAAAAAGTCAAAAACAAGAAACTGCAAAACCTAGCTTTGAAAAACCGGTTTTTTTTCACATCTGTTTTACATAAAAGTTTGTCAAACACTCTAATACTGCTTTTTTTTTCAAAAGCACTTTTACAAAAAAATTTACCAAACACTCTGCTGCTTTATTCTTATTCTCACAGCACAGCAAAAACAGCTTTTTTCAAAGCACAGTAATACCAAACCAGCCCTTAATCGCACACCGGACAGATCCTTCTTTCGTCGTCAAGGGGCCCACGGGTGCCAGTCGTATTTTGTAGACCAAGGGCCGAAACTCGTATATACGAAAAATGAATGGTTGAAATTAAAGCACACCCTCAATTTTGTAGAAGCTAATTTTGAAACTTTGTGTAATTTGATCAAAAAGACCCTAAACCCACAACCAATTAACTGTTATATATACGAGAGCTCCGCAATTTTTTGGTTCCAAAACTTGAGAAATTGCCAATCGTACAAATTCTTCCAATTCTCCAGAAACTTTGCACCAATTTGATTTCAGTTATTCAATCCAAATCTATATAAAAAATTTGTGGGTTTTACCCGTTTGATTATGTTTTAATTATGAAATTAAGTTGGAATTAAAATGTCAGCAGAAACCATTTAAATCCTACTACACTCCAAGAACCAAAATAAAACCGACCAAAAAAATAGGTTTGCTTTTCTTCATACAAAAATCCCAAATAAAAGCAAAATATGATCCCAGAAAATTAATTAAAAAAAAAATTAAAAGTAAAAAAATATGAACATCGAAGATTTAGAAGGAACCATCAGACACCAAAATTGTATCCCCAAAAGCAAAAGAGCTGTACGGTCCGCATCATGGTTGGATCCAAAGATCCCATCACTTGGTCCCTCTCATCAAATCCCTATCATTCTTTTTTTTTTTTTTTGTGAATTTTAATTTGAAATCTGGATTCATAGAGAAACTTGAAAAACAAAACAAAATTAGAAAACAGAAAAAAGGAGAGGAGAGGAGAGGCTCAGAAGAATTGGGTATGAGAAATTTATCAGCACAGATTCATCAGAGTGGTGCATGACTTCCTCAGGTGATCATCATCGCCCCTCCCTCCCCACGAATGCATACGATGCTAAACAAACACCCGCAGACTCACTCGCTCACTCGCAGAGACAGACACAGAAAGAGCGCCCGACGGACGAACTATTTTACGGAGGCCTTCGGCGGTGTAATTTATAGAGATGTGCGCGAAACCCTAGCTGCCAGCCCCTCGATTTTGCACGGTGCAAAGACAAATGTACCCTAATATTTCTATCAGGCTAAGCTGAGGGATGCAAAGCCCATTCGTTTTCGTTTCCGCCTGATGAGATGAGAAGAGAAGGCCCATGGTTATTTTTTCGCTTTTCAGATAGGCTTTTTTTTAGCATTTTTGCAATGCTCAAAACTCAGTTTTAATCTCATTTTCTCTCCGGAACTCGATTGGTTTCACAATTTTCTTACACTGGAGCATAATAATATAGTTATTTCATCCTTGTTGATTCTCTTTTTGAAACCAAGACATTACATCGAATTTTATGAGAGAGGATCCTAGCCGGATCCTCCAATAACATATGTTCATCGTACATCGTACAATCAATTTTTGTCAGATACTGGTTATAAACTCTCTCCCTTATGCAACATGGACCCCACTTAACAAGCCTTAATGCCGCGTGGCAAAATTGATTTTTCACCGATTTGACGTGGGACAAAATTTGAGTTCCATGGACTTTGGTGGAACAAATTGAGTTCTAAAGGAACAGAATAACGCTAAATTCACAATGCATAAGTGAGGTTGGCTATATGAATCATAAAATGCCACTACGCTCGGTGAAGTATTATGTGCAAAATTACTTTTAAGATTTCTTTCTTTCAAACGAATTCACAAAGAGAAGATTAGTTTGTCTCAAAAAAGCGATAACACGTGCTAATATAAACACATTCTATACCGAAATTCAAATTTTATTTTCAAAGGTTGTATTCAAATTGTTTTGTGGCTTGGAGATACGTTCACACAGTCAAAATGGCATTACCTCTGTCAGTATGTCTATCCATCGCTCCATCATTCTGTACCCCCCACCGCTGATCAAAGAAACAATCCATTCTTGATCCGAAATTCATGAATGTCGTTAGTCCTGTTGACGAGCTACCTCCATAAACCACCAACTCTTCCGGCCAGCGCAAGTATAACGACGTCGTCTAAAAATCACGCCGAAATCACAACATTTATAATTCACTCGTGTTCGTCTTACGTACAGTTGTTGGCATCATCTCCATGCTCTAGTCCGAGACGTTGAAGCTTTAGACTGGGACTGCTGCCTCCTACCACCGCCTATGCCACTGTCACTGACACTACCTCCAACAAGATTGTCCTGAACTTCAGAAAACTCTCTATTCCATGAGTTCAAGGGGATAAGATAAGTATCATCCTTGATGCTCTTCCTCTGCTCCTCGTGGCGTTTCACATTCTCGGATATCTGATGCAAGGTTTTGTTTATCTTTGCAATTCCTCTTTCCACTGGTTCTACCACATGGGAAACTGTATACTTCATGTCATCAACGATCTGAAACAACAAATTAGAACAGCAGAGTGACCATTGATTCGAGAAAAGAGTTTTAAATGAAATACAGAAAAAGCATGCACTGTTAGGATTAATTACTCACAATTTCTCCACTTCCAAAAATCACATCACGAACACTCTGGGGGAAATTCAGCCGCTTTTCTCTCTCATCATGCCGTGCTACTGCCAGATGCATTCTGGTTGTTCTTTCACAATCACGCACCTCTTCTGGATCAGGAGGTGCTCCCAGTGAGGCATAGTCAGTCATCACAGCAACATTACGAACACATCTTTCTCCACGTTTGTAAGGTACAGCTGGAAACACATACAGGTGGACTACAGCAGCAACACCCATCTGTTTAACGAGTTTGAAATCAAAACCCGTTGAATTTCAGGATCTTATTTGCTAAAAGCTTCTATCTATTGAACATCAATAAAAAATTACAACAAACAGGTACATGAAGGACCTATTCAGAATGCTCGGCTCATGTATCATAAACTATTATATGCATGAAGGTCATAAATTATTTAATTAGGGCTTAGGGCTCTATACGCAAATAAATATAGGGTTTAAATACAAGAGACTCTTTATATCTTACTATGAAAGATACCCTTTGTTTCTCTAGTTCTTTAAAGAACTTCAGTGGCTTACACTAACAGTAGCAAGGAGAGTGACTTTCCATTGTTTTCCTTTATAAAACATGGTACGATTACAATTCAAAGTTGAACCTGATTAATAATACAATAAATTAGAACAACCCATCTAGAATAAACTTGATCTCCAATGAGATCCTAGGTTTCTTCTGACCATCCAAAACACTAGTCCAACTCATTAACCAACCTACTTCGTTTCAGAACAAATTCAATTCACTCATCAATATGTCAAATGTTAAGGACATGTTAGGTCTTCAAGCCCTGCAACATTGGACGTAATACAATTCAACAGCACACTTGAATGGTTAGTCGTTAGTCATTCTCATTACGCACCTCTATGCATATGATGTAGTCTTGTATCCGAGTTTTCAGCTCCTGAGCCAATGACCCTTTGAAGGCACCCATAGAGAAAAGAAATGCAACAGCGACACCTTGCCACCATGTCAAGAACACAATTGACTTGAAAGTCAGAAACTTCGCCAAGGGTTTAATGGGTTGTAATTTGTCTTTAATGACGGAGTAAAACTGTACAAGGCAATATAGGGCCCATGTCTGACTAAAATTCAGAACAACTGCCAAGTACGGATAGCTGCAAGCAAACAAAATAATTCAGAACAGTGTACATGAGCATTACAAGAGAAACACGTGTAACACTACAAAAAAGATTGTACAAAAATCACAGTTGTGAATCATCCTAAGTATGTGCAAACATTTATGTGCTCAAGAAAGTATGTGGAAGTGTGCGCATGTATGGATCAAGCATCAATACATAAGGCATACTCAACCTGTCATCTAAGAAGACATGGAATAATTGTCAACTAGTAAAGGTCAGACAAACAAGATTTTAGACCTAAATAAAACAGAAACAAATATCTTACCCATATCTCCAGTCAAATTTCCCTTCTCCATAAACACCACAAGTCTCAAGAATCATTGCTAGCAAAGCGCAGATCAATTTCACTATCATCTGGAAAATAATGTTTCAATATGACCAAATAAGGCTGAAAAATTTCAAGGAAGTCAAATAATTTAAATAAATTTTCAACAGGAAAATGAGTACATACATACTGAACGATGCCAACTTTCACAGCATGGTAGAATGTGGAGCCAAGAGGCCAGTCTCCTATGAGGCAATTCAGTGGGAAAGGATGCTCTACAACTCCATAAGCATAAGCTTCTTTCAAAAGAGGTGTGCTCGAATCGACTACGCTCTTACTCTCCATAAATTCAATTGTCCTCTCTTCACCACCTTCACATACAAAAATGTATGTCCACAAGGAGGCAAATTATTTCAGGTTTACATTATTAAACATGTTAAAAAAACTTGGTTATTTTCTCATCACTAGGAAGATTACTTATCAACATATAAAGTTTCATTAATGTGTGCTGAGCAAAGAATAGTCCTAAGGAAAAAAGATACTGATTAATCTCATTATTAATAATCACAGAGGAATCAGCATTCACATTTCGGTTACATACCTAAGCAGGCTATCAGGTATCTCTCAAAACAATATAGTGCAAAAGCCTCATAGCAGTCCCGAATTGCTTCGCAGTTGAAGGCCGCATTTGAGTCCAACAGTGACAAAAACTGCAGCAAACAGCATAAATACCCACAACAGCTAATTAATCCACAAAATGGTAAATACTAATTAAAATAGCAGTTTGGATACCTCAAAGACTAAAAGCAGACAGATACCAAGAAAAAACACCAACTGTATGTCGACATATTACTTTTGTAATACAGTTTCCAACAATTAGAATTCCAACAACTAGAGCAGACTTCGCAAATTGAATATCTTTAAGAATTGAAGACAAAGGACCAATTATGAAGAAATATTATGCCTGTCATAACTCTAGGATTTGCAGTCAAAAGGCAATTCCTGCCTCTAAGAAACTTTGCGAAATTATCTCCAGTTTTAACAAGTAACAAACCCCCCCCCCCCCTCTCTTCTACGAATGAGGTAATAGTATAATCTTGCACAAGACATGAAATACATCTCAATTCTGTTTTCTATCATTTGAACAGGTTGGCATTACCGAACTAATATGTTGCAATTGAATCCCTATACTTATCAACATATCTGGCACACTACAATTTTTCTTTCATAACACACAAGCAAACACAACTTCTTCCAATACATCCATTTGAAGTTGTAGCCTTCCAAATAAGATCCTGCCAATACTCAATCCAGTACACATTCCAAAGGAATGTGCATTCATTTGAGCTCCATATCTATAATAATAACTACGTCACACCTCTTAGTGCCAAGCGTATTTTCCTTGAAAAGAATTCCACGAACTGTTATTCCGTTACATACTAAATTTGTAACTATTTTCTAACTAATTGATAAGGGTAAAGTCGTAAAATGGCTTCATTTTTAACAACCCTTGAACAGTATGCGTATTCTCAGTAAACTAAAAGCACTTCATCACCCCCAACAAAACTCAAATTGTTCTGAATATATTAATATAAAGGTTGATTTGTAGCAATATAAATAATTATACTTATATAGAATATTGCGAAAAACTAGCATACAACAGAGGAAAGTGATAGCAAAAAGTACAGTCATACCGATTCCAATGCATAAACAGGAACCATCAAAATGAGACCAATCAGAAACTTCTGCTCCTGAAAATAGATAAACAGAAAAGAAAACATTGTCACAAAAGATGAATCAAAGTTATCTTCAAACACAGAAGCAATATAAAATTTCTCAGGAGGAATACAAAGATTAGACCTCTGGCTGATTATATGCAGCTAAATGCTCGAAGATAAGGTACATGGAGAGAAAGAGAGCAACAAGTACGAAAATGCTAGCACTGAGGATTGGCCAGCTGAAAGCTGCTGATGATTCAGCACCAAGGTTGAGTGACCACATTTCTCCTAATCTGCTCGAGGACTCAACTAGGGATATAAAGAAAAAGGAAGAACATAAAATTCCCCTCCATCCCATTGAGTTAGAGTCTCAAAATATATGGTTAAACTTGAGCCAATGAACGTGCTTTATAGTTTTGGTTAGGCTTTGAGAACATAAGGAAGAAGCATCCAGGGAAAACGAAAATCTGCAAGAATGGAACATTTTAATTAATGTAAAAAGTACAAGCACTACTATTTAACAGTCAGAAAACAAATATCATAACAGATACTGATCTTTTAACTCGTGATATTTCTGGTGAAACATACAGAGATGTATAATACTAATTCTAACATAATACCGTGATCAAAGCAAAAGATGCCCTTAAATGTCTTCCATCAACATAACTCTTCATTACAAGCAACATGCAAAACCAAACAAGATAAATAGTCAGGAACTCATAAGTTTCAAATCACTACATTCAAAAGTCTATAGCTTGCTTCAAAAGACATGATATCTGCGGGTTGTCCTAGGGTTGGAGTTCCTCAACCCGTCTATCTGCCAACATTTAGTTTGGGTTAAAAACAAATATAACTCTTTTTCCCAAATACAACCAGTGTCTGTCTGCCAGCGTTTAATCCGGGTTGGATTCAACTGGTCAGGTTCATCCAACCAACCGAATGCCCATACCTAGATGTCATCAACGCTTGCACCAAAATTACAAAGCTTAAAGTACAAACCTTGCACCTTATCAACGCTTACGGAACTCATAATTTGTATCATTAATAAACAGTACTAGATCTCTAATACACATAAAATCAACACAAAACACAGTGATTAGTACACTAATCAGTATCAAATAATAACCATTGAGTATTATTTCCTATCTAGTGTAACACATTCTACTAATCTGCCATTGACTGTGAAATTAAAACATTCTAGTACAAAAAATAAGAGTTATTTTTCTTTATTTTCTTAGCAGCCGGACAAATTTAGCAACAAATTTATTTCCATCACCAAAAGCTCTAACTTCCAGAAGCAGAATACAAAAAAGCAACAGCAATTAATTCACATTCGTCACTAAAAATCAAAGGATAAACCCTAAAACTTCCATCACAGAGAAAAATCTTAACCTTTTGCGAAAGAATTGAATACGGACCAGAAACAGTCATAATTCATGAAGACGAAAAAAGGAATAGAAAAGATTTCTGAAAAGGAAACTGATAGGTGGGATTGCATACGAACCTGTGCTTGGGGTTTTCCCGGGAAAATTTGACAGTGAAATTACTTTCCGCGAAAATCGCAAGGAAAATTATAATTCGTCCGGAAAGAAGACGTTTTCCCTTTTGCTTCGGCTGGTTGGGGAAGACCATCGTAGAGTTAATTTTTTATTTTTAATTTAATATTAAATAAAGAAACACGACTAAGCTTCACAGGGCAGTGACCTAAATTTTTGCGACGGATTTACATCTGACCGTGGCAGCGTTACATCTGGCAGTGGGGTATGATCGTGCGGCTTTCGGGTTGTCGTCCTACGAGAAAGCTCATTCGCTGTGGTTTTAGATGTATGACGTCGAATTAGGAAAGGGTAACTTTATTTCCACGCAAGCAAGTGCACGTGGCAAGATCTCACTCCGGTGTCCACGTCAGTTCTACACTGCCTCGGTTCAAGACATTTTTTTGTGGAATGAGATATTCAGGTACTCATTTTTACTTATTCTATGTGTTTTAAGTTTTTAATTGTCGGATCGGATGAATTAAAAAAAATCAAAGGACATAAATTACAAAGGGTATGTAAGAAGTAAAAAGAGGTGTATGGATAGCACAACCCTTTTTTGTTTGCGTTTTGATATATGTGGCTCGTGTTCAATTTCGTTCATTAAATATCTTTTTTTTTTTTTTAAGAATTTAATTAACATTTTCTAAAATATTGGTACACTTAATTTATGATATACATTTACATTTTTGTTACGTATTGTTTTTTTGATACTTTTTAAACTTAAATGTTTTAAAAGTCGATATGTCTACTTTCAAATATATCATGAGTATTAAATATACTTTTTATATACCTATACGTAAATTTTTAACAAATTAGTAAAGTTTTCTTATAGAAGTATTATTGACATTTTTTTAAATAAGAGACTAATTAAATATAAAAATAATAAGTAAAAAATTACCTTTTAAATGATAATGAAGAATTAGTTAAATTCTAATAAGTCACGAATTTAAAATTTTTATCTTGTAGCAAATTATCTGTTGAGTTGACAATTAATCAAGAACCAGGATCCTCGCCGGATCCATTCCCTAGGATCACGCAATCCTATCCGTTTATCGTATATCATACGGTTAATTTTCGTTAGGTACTATTTATATTTGAATTTTAAATTTTAAATTTTAAATGATTAATGATCGCACGATATACGATGAACGGACACGATTGCGTGATCCATAGGATCCCTAGGAAATGGATCCGAGGAGGATCCTGGTTCATTAATCAAAGCATCTTAATTAAATTTTGTAATAAAAAACAGATGGTTAGTCTAAATAAGTGGGAAAAATGTATGGGATTATAATTCATCATTTTTTTTAGTTTTCTATTTGTGTATTTTTGCTTATTACTCTAAAGTAGGTGAGTAAAAATATTGCAGTCCTGTTTTTCTACCTACATATAATTACTCCTACTGTAAAAAGCTTAAAAACTAAAATCTTATTTCTCTACCTACTATTATTTCCAAAATAAACATAATATCTAAAACTACATTAATGAAATTTTCTTTACCAATCAAATGAGGATGAAAATATATCTTTGTGTTCTATTACAACAAAAAAGTTAAAGATTGTAACGTAATTTTACAAAACAAAATTTTGTTATTTTTTTTAAACCTTACCTATATATAATTTTATTATCTCTAATTTAAAATAATAAAAAATAAAAAACAACCTCTCTCCCTCTCTCCTTACTCCTAGGTTCTCTCTTACTCTCTTCAATTTTAATTTTCAATTTTAATAATAACTACATCCTTTTATTTACATTCAATTTTAATTAGATGATTAGAATAAGATCTAAATAAATAAATAGGACGTAGTTTAGATAAATAAATAAAAAACTGAAAATTAAAATAGGATTTAGATTAGGGAAAAGGATCTTTGTTGGATTCTTTTTTTGAGGTTTCGAAAATTCCATGATCGTGACCATTTATCGTATATTATGTAGATTAATTTTTATTAGATACTATTTATATTTAATTTTAAATTTTAAATTTTAAATTTTAAATAATTTATTTTCATATAATATATGATGATAAACGATCGGGATCACGAAATCCGAAATCCTCAATCCTCATGCAAAGTTAGAACACCTTAGTTCATCTGTCAGTGCAAAATAAAATAAAAACGCAAGAGCCATAGAACACCTTCATCTGTCACTGTTTGGCACTCTGTCTCTAAGCTGAAGAAGAAGAAGAAGAAGTGGCTCATGCTTCACAGTGGCGGAAGGAGGTGATATTTCATTTGCTCCGCCGTTTTTTGGTTTCCTACTCGGTACCGAATGCTCTGCCATTGTTGATTCCTTTTGATTTGTTGGTGTTAATTTGCTGGGTTATTGGAATATCAGTTCAATTTAGATAGTTGAGGTTTAGATTTGGCTTGATTACGCTTTACAACTCTATTAAGTATTGGGTTTTAGGGATTTCAATCTCCTTCCTCTTCTTCTTATTCGATTTACCCTTTGCAATCGTACATGTCCTAAACTAAAGAAAACTAAATAATAGAAACAAAAACTAGAAAGCCTTGCATAAACCTTACCATTTGAAATTTAGTCGTTGAAAATGCAGCTTCTTACAAGTAAATGGCACTACTTTGTTCTTAGTTCCCTTTCCAATTTTCAGATTATATATACAAATTTAACACTCCTTGTCTATATCAGAAGTCAAAATTAAGCTACTTTTACATCTCAACATGGAAATATTTTTTCTCAAGACCCTCAAGTGATAGTAATGCTCAATGCCCTATTTATCACCATTGGATTGGATGAGTTTAAATTTCAAGATGTGTATAGTGGATAGACACAAATCTCAAAATTTGAACTCGTCCAATGGTAATAAGTAGGGTGGTGAGCGAAAATGCACCCTTTCAACAAAGACAACATATACTTGTCATGTAGAGTAAGTTTCAAGACTAAGCATTAACATTTTGTGTTTACAATCACTAATCCCGTTTGTGGTAGAACAACCGACTCATTTTCTTGTTACCTTGTATTCTCATAGGCAACAGAAAATGCACGTCTCAAATTCTCCCAACGAACAAAGGATTTCCAAACACAGAATATACCAGTGTCACAGTTCTCTTTGCAGTCTTTTCCTATTTTTTTTCTTTGACTTTAATTCTACCTGCAAAACGATTTTCACCCTTACACTCTAGTTGGTTACGCAGCTTGTAAGAGAGGAGAAATGAGAAGCCATAGACTACTCCCGTGCCTGTGCTAGCAACTGAAGCTAGTATCACTCATACAGACAAGAGCAGCGCCCTCCTAGCTCTTCTACGTCAGGCACAAACCTCTTGAAGTCATAAAATGATGAATCCCTCAATACTCATGCATCCCTCTAAGCCTTTTGTCTCTCCTCTGTATTCCACTCCTCGCACCAGGTTCGTACAACACGATATCTTTTCAGCTGTAACTTTCTTCAAACATCTTTTATGCACTATTTTCCAATACCTGTTTTGCTTGTTGAAGTTAATTCAGTTTGGTAAATTTTCTTATGTGTATGTGTCCCTCCTTCTATTCAGGACCAATGTAACTGAGAGCATTGCTATTGAAGGTCGCAACCTGAGCTACTCGGTTGCGATGAGGCAAGGTAAAACATTACCAATTCTTAGAGATTGCTCTCTGCGCATACCTTCAGGGCAGTTTTGGATGCTTCTTGGACCCAACGGGTGCGGGAAATCTACCCTCTTGAAGGTATATAAAATTCCCGGCATACTTTTTCTTTCTTGAAGGATATTTGTTATTTGGTTTGATGTTGTTTCTCATGGTTCCTTTAAGTTTGTATGCTAAAATTTTGGTTCTCAATATGGAATTAAAAAAAGGAATAATAGTTCATTTCTTCTATATTGTTCTGAAATTTGCAGATTTTGGCTGGTCTCTTGAATCCAACAATTGGAAGTGTGCATGTGAAGAGGCCTAGGAGTTTTGTTTTTCAAAATCCTGATCATCAGGTTCATTTTTATCATGATGGATTCTATGCTTTAAATTTTAGTTTCACTTTGCTGGCCTTGTGACTTCAAAATCAAAAAAATTATGTTCTCGAGTTGTAGAGAGCTTCAAGAAAGAAAACAGTACAGAAGTTTGATTTTGAAATGTTAGAGAATGAAATTGTAGTGTTGGATATCTGCTTAGGTTTCAAGATTGTCAGGCATGGTTTTTGGTCGTCAAGGTTAGAGGATGTTTACTGCGACGCTAAACCGATCAAGATAGGAATCAATTGTCCTATTAGAAAGAGGAGTCCTGACTGATAATTTTGATTTGAAGATGAATTCCTTAGGAGGCCTATTCTTATATAACTTCAAACTGTGGATTGGCCTGTGAGAGCTCTATGTTGAGTGAGACTGGGATATTGACAAGAAAATAAGAAAATTTTAGGTTGAATTGAATACTAAAACAAGTTTTAACGGTATCTCACTACTGTAAAGGTTATGGACATAACTACTGGTGTCTGTGCGAATATCCAATGTCAGAATCTTTTCATGTTGCAGGTAGTGATGCCTACAGTTGAAGCAGATGTAGCATTTGGCCTTGGTAAGTTTAACCTGACCCCTGATGAAGTCAAATCTAGAGTGTCAAAAGCTTTGGATGCTGTCAGCATGTCGAAGTTCATGCAGGTAACGTAGAAACAATATGAGTTAACATATTTCTACAACATCCACCAAATATTTTAGCAAGAAGTTCACAACTTTATCTCTTGTCACGTTAGAGGTCAGTTCAGACTCTCAGTGGTGGCCAGAAGCAAAGGGTTGCCATTGCTGGTGCTTTAGCAGAAGCATGTAAAGTTCTGTTATTGGATGAGCTGACAACATTTTTGGATGAAAATGATCAGGTACTTTTTCTACCATCTATCCAAATGGGAAATGTTTTCTTGCCAAACTATGTTGGACCATTGATCGGGTTGATTTTTGCCAAAATGTGTGGTCCAGATTTGTAGGTCAACATAAGCATTCTGCTTGCAACATAAGTTTGGCAAGATAACATTACTCCCATTTAATTCTTTAGACTAAGAACATGTCAGGAATCTTCTGTGAAGAGGAAAAAAATTAAAATAAAATCATGAGTGCTTTTGTAGATTTTGTACAAATTGTCTTCTCTATTTCCGGCCCCCTGAAATTAATCATGAGAACAACTCCATTACTGGTGTATCTTCATGAGGGATAGGAAAATCTATTTCTCTAACCAGAACTTTCGGGGTTTCGTAGAGAGGAGATAGAAAAGAAGTAATTTAAAGAGGGAAGCATAAGTGAAGCAAAACGGTGAATTTGGACTTTGAAAATTTTGATTTCTATTTTGATAAAATTTACATAAAAATTTGATCATTTAAGAAATGGAGGGATTTGAACTAACAAGTTTTTCTTGAGCATTTGAAATCTCTTCTTCTCTTAATCAATTTACATGAGAACTTTATTAACACAAGAAATTAGTATTTCTAACCTTCAACAAAGAAAATTGAACTAAAATCTTGAATTCAGATCTCTCAGTTTAGATTCTTCCATCCAAATGGACCAAAGAACTTAAATGTGAATTCATAAGCATATAGCTTACACACAGCCACCACCAAGGCAGATGGTAGGACATGGCTTATTGGAATCTGGTCTTGGTTTAGCGATCTCCATATTACGGTGCTTAAGGTCATAATCAGACAATAAGCTACTGCTTGTAGAGTCAATTGGGTACCTTCATATGGCTTTTATTATCTACTATTTAACTTCTGTTATCAGTCATCTTATTCCCAGTTCCATATACTGAGTGTGAGTTTCTGAGATAGTTTTTAGGCGAAATAAACACTTTCTGGACAAAACTAAATTCCATTTCTTTGTTTCACCTTACTTCACTGTTATTAAGTTTTGGCTTTTATAACCAGATTGGGGTGATCAAAGCAGTTAGGAACTGTTTGGATAGCTCTGGAGATGTTACTGCTTTATGGGTCACCCATCGTCTTGAGGAACTTGAGTATGCTGATGGTGCTGTCTATATGGAAGATGGGAGAGTTAAAATGCATGGCAATGCAGCAGACATATTGGATTTCATTAAGACCAGGCAATCAGCTTATATCAAGGAAATCAATTCTTGAAAGATCATCCCACTCTTTGCAGAAAAACTAATAAGTCTGACTGTAGGGACTGCATTGATGACCTGCATGCCGTTGTTCAGGTACCAAGTTGATGCAATTGATATATCCGTATATCGTGTGCTAAATTAACAGGGCCAATAGTTTTTAGGTGGATTGGTGATAAAAAGCCATTATGTCAGCCTAGTTCTCTGGCTAGATCATTTTGTTTCTATTCTTTTTCTTCTGCGGAGAGGGGATCACTGTCGTTTATGTAATGTATGTTACAGGAATGATGAGGGAAGAGGCATTTGTGAGCAAACCAACACTGCTGATTCTGCGTTTGGCAGGTTTTCCGGAGTCTGAGAAGGCTGCAATCCTATTTTATTTGTAACATAACCATGTAAAACTGGCATTATTTGCATATAAAGAACGCTCGACTGTATGTTACGCTTGGATCATTTGGAATTTAAGCCTATTTTGCTGTATCAAGTTTTACTTTGATGGTCAGTGTGTGCAATCAAGTGCTAAATCACAGACTCGTGGCACATCCCTTGACAAGTGCGGGATTTGCTGAGGACCCGCAATCATCAATGGATTGGTTAGCGTCATGCCTACACGCGACTGACGCTAGCATATTTCGCCCGAGGTGTTACGCTCGTGTCCTTTTCGATGTCGAAGTTTTGGTTTGGACATCCACCAATAGTAATTCAAAAAGAACTTTGCTCGTTGCTGAACAGAGAGCATTCCAATGTTTTAGTTGAAGGCTGCCAAATTTGGTTGGGTGAGCCTCCACCAGACTTTGGATGATTGCCCAACATGCTTCACTTTTTAAATGCTAAAGTAGCCCGTGAATGATGCATCTTTTGTTGGTTCATAATCTCCCCTAAAGAGTTTAATTATTGGCTTGTTACGTACAATTTGATTCAGTTTCTAGAGTTGTAAAACTATGAATAAAGTGTTTTCCTTTTACTAAAGATAAATGAAAAACGTTTTTGAGGACAAATTTGATTTATGTCTACATTTCCAATAGCGATGTCAAATATATTTTTCAAGAGATGCTAATGATTTTTCTATATGACTTTTCAATTATTTTTAAATTTAAAATCGATCACATGAGCGTTTTAAGATTCATATAGTCAATCTCATAAGTGAGAAAAGACTTTGTTGTTGTTATATTTAAATTCAAATCTCAAGGATAATGATTAAAATTATACCATGATGTAACATGTTTAGCACTACTACCAAGTTAAGAATAAAAGAGTGATTTCAAGAGATGCTAACTATTTTTCTATATAAATTTTCAATTATATCTAATTCAATTCTCACGGATAATGATTAAAATTGCCTAGCATGATGTAACATGTTTAAAAATTAATGCAATATTTTAACCATTACAAAATGGCCTAGTGGTTGGAACGAATTCCAGACTTATATTTCACAATGCACGTCTTACTTCGATTTCTGATTCTGATGAGTCACACGATGATTTTTCCAATCTAGAAGAATGGACTCTCGAGGCAAAACCACCAATCGTTCTTTTTAACAAAAAACATTAATAGAGTTTTTTTTTATTTTATATATATATATTTTTTTTTTATTTTATTTATATGTATACTCTTATTTATTTGCAAGTGTAACCATTTTTTCTAGAAGAAGGATGATTAGGTAGTGAGGGAAACAGAATAAAAATATCTAATGCGACAAATGAGAACAACAAAAAAGCCGTAATTAGAGTCCTTAGATTAGAGCTGCATTATTAAATTATCAACAGATAAATAAAAATAATTATGAAAAATACGCGTAAGAATCTCTTCCATTCCAGTCAAAATTTTCAGTCTTGGATTTTCATGTCAGCATTGACGCCTCCCTCCTCGGTTGGACCTCCAACTCCAACGACCACCTTCATCCGTCACTGTTTGGCAATTCGCACTCCTCCATCTCCTAATTTAAGCTGAAGAAGCAGAAGAAGGAGGACAAGCTCGAGCTTTCTCTGTACTGCATCATGGTGGTCGCGTAGAGATGCTTCACGGTGGCTGAAAGAGGTGCTTTTTCTTTAGCTCCGCCGTTTTTTTTTTCTTCCCCAGTACTGAGAGCTCTGTTATGTTGAGGTTTAGCTTAATTTGAGTTGTTAATTTGCTGCAGTTGGTGGATTATTGGCTTAATTTGGGTACTTGAGGTTTAGATTTTGCTTAATTATGATTTTACAACTCTGATTAAATATTGGGTTTTAGGGTTTTAGGGATTTCTCCTCTTTACTCTTCTTAGTATTCGATTTCGATAATTTTTCAGGTGATTTTTCTACAAAGTTTTGGGAATTTTCCATCTGTTCATCCGATCAGCAAAGTATATAGTTATCTGAAGTTGGGAAAGTGACCTCTTTTGTCACTCGAATTCGGTATTGGATTGAGAAGTAGTTACCAGTTTTTATATAGGTTTGTATTTGCAATGAGTTCTTTTGAAAAGAATGATACCGATTTGGAAGGTGGAAACTTGCAAAAAGATGGAGATAAAACAACAAGGGGTAATAAGGTGGTTAAAATACATAATCAGGCCTTGTTGTCTGGCCTTGCATATTGCCTATCCTCCTGCAGTATGATATTAGTTAACAAATTTGTCCTCTCAAGCTACGACTTTGATGCTGGAATTTCTTTGATGCTGTACCAGGTAACACGATGGTTATCGCATTTGCATAAAAAGAGTGTTTTACTCAACTTTATTTGATCGAATAAATAGTTGTTGAGATTTAACTATCTCATGTTGCTCATGTGGATGCAGAACCTAGTCTCGGTTATAATAGTTTCTGTGTTGAATTTTACGGGCATCATATCGACAGAGCCACTAACATGGAGATTGGTTAAGGTCTGGTTGCCTGTGAATGTTATATTCGTTGGGATGCTCATTACAAGCATGTTTAGGTATGAAGTAGGAAGTGTGTTCTATTTAAGTTTATCTTGATACATTATTAAACAACACTTGACAAGCACTCTATCTAGGTTTGTGATACTTATGCTTATATTCTTGTTACATAAAATCTTGTATGAATCTTGAATTGAGGTTTCCATAATTCGTTAAGAAAATTACAATTTATGATAGTATTCATGGGTCTTTAATTCCCGCAGACCTAAAGTTGTCTTTTTACTCCACATTGTATTAAGTATTTAGTGCATTGTTTCTATTCTACAACCAGTGTGTTGCTCTTCTGGTTAGACCCCCTTACGTAGGGGCACTAGGGTGTATCTGTTGTCGGTGTATAACCATTAAAAATTCATGCCCTCTTGCTTTTCTCAGTTTAGTTAAATTCACGTTTGCAGCTTGAAGTACATCAATGTAGCGATGGTCACAGTCCTAAAGAATGTTACCAATGTGATAACTGCGGTTGGTGAAATGTATCTATTCCAGAAGCACCACGACGGCAGAGTATGGGCTGCTCTTTTTCTAATGGTACGTTCAATAAGTCAGAATGTCAGTATGGGAGATTCGCTTGTTGATGAATGTTTCAATCGGGATGTAAAACAACAAATCAACTTACTCTTTCGTCTTTTAATTAATGGCTCGTTGATTTTACCTGAGAATTCTTGTCCAGTCTTCCCTTTTAGTGTTGTTATTTGCCTCATCATGTTCCCTTGTGTTCTTATTTTTTGAAAGTTCGTGTGCACATCTTAATTTGTCAGATTGATGCTAAGAACAAAATGATGTTTAGGTAAAAAAAATCTGTTCTTCAAAATTATTATCCTAAAAAATTCTTTTGTCTTTTTCTTTGGTTTGGAGCTTGGCAATGAATATGAGAATTGAAAAGGCCAAATCAGATTGCATGCGTGGGTTAGTTAATTGTTGAAGTTCTGATTTTGATGAAACCAAGCCAAAGTCATTAGGCCAATACTCTGTTGAATTGATGAAAATATTAACTTATAGGAGTCTTCTGGCAACACTTACATCTTTGATGCATTATAGTAGTTCTCCAAATTTTGGGTTTGATGTCCTGTCGGGTAAGCTGATGATGTTCTGTAAGTGCATTTGCATGCATGGTTGCATGCTCATAGATTTATTGTCCTTGATTTCCAAGTCCAATTTTCACCAACCTAATACTATTCTAACATATTTTGTGAGTTTTCATTTGATGATATGGTTTTGAATCTAACATTTGCAGATAATTTCAGCAATTTCTGGAGGGGCCACTGATCTGTCTTTCCATGCCATCGGCTATGCATGGCAATTTATGAATTGTATCTTGACTGCGTCGTATTCTGTGAGTTCTATCTGTTCTGTACATTTTAGAATGTCATTCTGTGTATGTTCTTTATTCCACCTCCTTCCATGATCCGTTCCCCTCCCCCCTATTTTTGTGTACTTTGAAACAAGAATTTTAAATTGTTTCATATCAGAACTTCATGTAATTAGACCCTTTCCTTTGTGAGGAAGTTTTTTCAATAAAAATGATTAACCTAATTTCTTTTATTTGAGAATATGAATTAGGAAGCTACATCATACTTTGGTTTTAGATATTCCTTGACGAGGATTATTTTCAAATCTATGAAAACAATCTTTAATTGTTAATTGTGGCCATTACTAGTTATGCAATTCCTCAGTGAAAGAAAGGCAGTACTTTCCAAAACTAATTATAGACAATACAAATCATGTTTATCAGGTGGCAAAACAGTATCCTTTTTTTCTGGTCTTTTGGTTCGGTCTAATACAACTCAGTTTCTTATATGTCAGAGATTTTGTACCCCTTCTATTATTGAGTTGATAAGATTTTTACTTTATAGTGAAAAATCAACAAGATGTCAGAAATGGGCCCTCTGCTTGGATCTGAAATATAAGTGCTTGCTTGTATTTTCATGATCTGTGACTCCGTCTACTGGCTATTGATTAACTTGGTTTATGTTTTAATTGTTGTGACTCCGTCTACTGGCTATTGATTAACTTGGTTTATGTTTTAATTGTTGAATAAAGCTAATTATTATTTTATTTTGACAGCTGACCCTACGTAGGGTCATGGATACAGCAAAGCTTGTCACAAAATCTGGAAAGCTGAATGAGTTTTCAATGGTCTTGCTAAATAACACGCTTTCTCTGCCTTTGGGGATTCTCCTTATTTTTATTTTCAGAGAGGTTGATTATCTCTTTACAACGTGAGTATTCTATTTCTGGTACTGTTTCCCCACGTTTACCACCACACTCTTTCTACTGTGCTATATTGATGTAAGAAAGTTTTGACGATAAAGATGGGACGTTTGGAGTCTAAATTATATGTTTCCTGTTGTAAGTTTGGGCATATTTCATAGTTCAATGTGGGGGAGGATTATCAAAGCACTTTTTCTCTTCTTCGAGGTCATTTTGGTCATCGTAGTTAACTTTGGAAGTTTCTGGAGATATATAGAAGTATGGAAACAACTACAGTAGAAAGTCTAGTGTGAATCATCTAGTGGAAAGGAATGACTTACACAAACCCACATCCTCTTTAGATTTGTCATATTGATGATTAAATT